GATCTTCAAGGAAATTTGAAATCGCCTGTAAAAATGTATGTCAATCTACAGACATATTTAAGGTTGTTTTGCCCTGGTGATGACCTCAAAATAGGTCGAAGCTTGGCAGTAGCAACTAAATTTGCTTTCTTCTTCAAGACAATATCTTGACCCAGAGTATTCTTAAGTGAAAAAGTGGTCCATACTTCTAACTGTGAAAACTGAAACTTCGTAAGGTAACAAGCGTCATAGCAGTTTTAAGTCACACTACACAACTTTATGGACCAGCAGTTCATAAACAGTTTAAAGAATTGGCAATGTTGGGACTGAGTCGATCTTAAGGGACAATTGATATCGTTGTAAAGATATATTCAATCCATAGACATATTTAAGGTTGTTTTGCCCTGGTGATGACCTTAAAATAAGTCGAAAGCTGGCAGAAGCAACTAAATTTGCTTTCTTCTTCAAGACAATATATTGATCCAGAGTGTTCTTAAGTGAAAAAGTGGTCCATACTTCTAACACTGAAAACTGAAACTTCAAAAGGTAACAAACGACATGGCCATTTTAAGTCATACTATACAACTTTATGGACCTATAGTCCCTAAACAGTTTAAAGAATTGGGAATTTTGGGACTGAGTCGGTCTTCGAGGAAATCTGACATCGCCTGTAAAGATTTATGTCAATTTAGACATATCTAAGGTTGTTTTCCACTGATGATGACCTTAAAATATGTCGAAAGCTTGGTAGTAACAACTAAATTTGCTTTCTTCTTCAAGACCATATCTTGATCCAGAGTGTTCGAAAAAAAATACTAAATGAGCTCTTCATTCTGGTTAATACAATCGTGAACAGAACATAAATATGTTTATATAATATACGTATGTGCAAAGAACCTGTTCTTAGTAACGGAAACCTGCTAACATGACATTTAAAAATGTGTGCTTTTGACATATGCGACAGAACTCCTGTTGTTATTCCCTTGATATAATAATGGAACTGCTAAGACCATCAACCGGTTGTTTATACTGTCTCGGTACTCGTATTATTTAAGAACATTTATTTTTATTTATTTAACGTTTATTTTTCATTTAAGAATATTGATTATGTTCCAGGATCTTATAATTATGGTATATACGATATTAGGCGTGCTGATACAATACCCTGGTAAAATAAGATATTGAGCCAAATAATACGGAAGCCTAATAATGATCATCAACCAGATACAATAGATAATGAGCCACCCTCTAGTGTTTTAAGATATTAAGACAACGGATACGTAAGGCCAACCACCTGATTCATAAATTGGCCAACATGATTATAAGATAGTTAACTCTGATACATAAAATGTTTAAAAACTTTTCCTAATATTTTTTCACCTTCTCATGCATACGATATTGAGTCACTTAAAACAAAAGGTATTGAGCAATATGTAAATCCATATATGTTTAGCGGTCATAATTGACCATATTTATTATTTACATTAATTATTCTTTATCTAAGGTCTTGATTGAGATGGAAAAGTTAGTGTCACGAGCGGGGTTCGAACCCACGACCTTCGGCTCAATACGCCAGTGCTCTAAACACTTGAACTAGTGACAGTAACTTTGTCATCTCAATGAAAATCTTAGATAAAAATAATAAGTAAAATGTTGAGCTACCTTCTGGTAGCTAATATTAGTTTATTATTATAATAACCCCAGCTACCAGAAATGTAGATATTGAGCGATCCAGCCACCTAACTTTCTTGTTCACAAGATGAGCCACCAGATGCCGAAAGATGTTCAACCTAATACATAATTAGGTGGTAAGTGTACTGCTGTACTTTTGATATGAGTTCAACCCCAAATAACTCGCGCGTCCTTTACCAAAAGAAAAAGAACGAAGAAAGCTTTGCCGGTTTACATGGAGAACCGATATTTCAGGCTGAGGAACTAAGAATCCTGGAAGTGTGGATAGATAGAAAGTGGAATGTGCATGTAGATAGATGATGTAAAAAGTATGTCAAATCATCTCCCGATCTGCCAAGGTTTACAATTGTAAAAGTGATTTATAAAGCAATTTGTTCCATTTTTAGCATATCCTGTACCTGTGAAAGTTCAAAGAAAAATTACATTGAGGATGTAGCTGGCCATAAAGCAAAAAAAACTAGTAAAAGTTTAAAAAGATATGAAACACAAAAATACTTCGGAATCTAAATACGAAATTTAAAATTCAATACCAACTTCAGAAATGGCTCATCCGGCTGACAAGGAAAATAGTATTGCCCTAGAATATACCTAAATATTGTATTTTGCCAGAAGGTAGCAAAACCGATAATTCATTCGCATGTAAGGAAGGAAGCATCGTTGACACCAAAAAAATTCCGGTCAGCAGAGAGGTGCTCCAATAATTTGGCTGAGACTCTTAGTGGAAAGCACTACGGACTTCAAAAATCTTAAACATATCAAAAACACAACTATGGTTTATACGGAAAGTGATGTCACCCTGAGGATGTGTTTTAACTCTGGAACCATAGTAAAGTAAACTCCAAAACCTACCAAGAGAATTGCGCTTGGGATTGGGATGGAATGTACGCTGGATAAAGGCACGTGCTGGAAACGAACGCAAAAACTGATATACTGGCAAAAATTAAGCAGCATGGGAAAATAGTAGAAGGAAGAGACAAAGGGCACACACAAAAGCGTTTTTCTTTCGGACCATAGGAAACTAAGATAAGCCACAAATTCAGGACAACAATGGCACATGCAAACCTTGGAAGAAATAGACAGATTTTTTAAAAATCAATGACAGCCCTATCTGTTCGAGCTGTGAGACCACAATCTTGGAAACATAATTTTTCACTGCTAGCAGTTATGAGCGATATCATCACCGGATGTGTCCTACCGAATTAAGCCGTCTGACAATCGAACTCTGGGCAGAGTCAATATCAATCATACAAATTTAGATATTTTATAACAAAAATTATATTATTGTAAGCCAGTCCCCGTCTTAGTACAAGGTAGGAATAGTTGTTAATATAAATTAAAAATAGACGTAAGTAATTTCAAACATATTAGGCCGTAAATCTGACGGGTCGCCCACCAAGTAGGGAGCAAAGAGACGTTTCCCCACAAACCTGAAAGTCATCGAAATGCGACAGACGAATAACCCCAATAAATAACAAACGTCGAGATGCTATTTAGTGGGAAAAAGTAGTCGCAGAGAGTTAATCAAGCTGAGGACACCATAAATTTGGAGTCACGTCAGCAGGGTGGGCGTCGTACAATCTTCGCCGAATGTTCTTCGCCTTTGGACGAGGAGACTGCGTAATGGAAACCCCTGAGAATTACGAGTTACTGCGAGGGCAACCCTCGCAAGAAAGAAATTGACCGACTGGCAGAACAGTTTTTGCTTTTTCTTTCCTCCCCTACCCTCGGTGAGAAACCGTTACAAAAGGGGATGATTTGGAAAACAAAATTAGTGGATCCAAGCATTCAATCTAAGGACTCAGTCTATCCAAGGATTCAGTCGAGCCAAGGGCTCGGTCCATCCAAGGACTCAGTTGATCCAAGGAATCGGTCTATCCAAGGATTCAGTCTAACCAAGGGCTCAGACTCAGTTGATCCAAAGACTCGGTCTATCCAAGGATTCAGTCTAACCAAGGGCTCAGTCCATCCAAGGACTAAGTTGATCCAAGGACTCGGTCTATCCAAGGATTCAGTCTAACCAAGTGCTCGGTCCATCCAAGGACTCAGTTGATCCAAGGACTCGGTCTATCCAAGGATTCAGTCTAACCAAGGGCTTAGTCCATCCAAGGATTCAGTCTTACCAAGGACTCAGTTTAACCAAGGGCTCAGTTTAACCAAGGGCTCAGTCGATCCAAGCATTCAGTCTAACCAAGGGCTCAGTTTAACCAAGGGCTCAGTCGATCCAAGCATTCAATCTAACCAAGGGCTCAGTCCATCCAACGATTCAGTTTAACCAAGGGCTCAGTCGATGAAAGGACTCGGTCAATCCAAGGACTCGGTCTATCCAAGGACTCAGGCGATCCAAGGACTCAGACGATCCAAGGACTCGGTCTATCCAAGGACTCAGTCGATCCAAGGACTCAGACGATCCAAGGACTCAGTCGATCCAAGGATTCAGTCTATCCAAAGACTTAGTCTACCCAAGGATTCAGTCTATCTATGGATTCAGTCTATCCAAGGACCCAGTCGATTAAAGGATTCCCAGGCCGAAACGAGTCTCGGAAGCAGCGGGCAAGAGGACTCAGTCATGACCAGTCAACTCAGGGACTCAGGGAACGAGAGGAGTCAATAGCATCCACATTCAAGTACAGGACTCAGTCAAACAAACAGCCCCATTCAGACAAGTCGTTTAGAGTCAACTGTCGAGGGTAGAGCAAGCGCGGGAAGAAGATCCTGGAAAGACGATCAAATATGTGGAAGCAGGTATTAGTTTTGCATAGTTTGGTTGTAAGTCTTCTTGTAAATAAGTTCTTCTCGGAGTTGTTGCCGACCTGCCTTGTTTGTTTGTTACCACGGTTCAATGTGGAAATAAATATTCCTGAACCCTATCTCTCTGGTTTGTTGTATTTTTAAACCCTACTCACTCCACCAAAAAATTAATTGAATGTTTTCCGAACGCTTAGACCGTCGGCGCTCGCATAAATTACAAAATTACAATACATATTTTAAGTATATAAGAGTGTTTATAATTATATGACATTTGTCATGTATTGTACGGAAATCTGATCTGACTGTTCCATTATTTCATGCACCATTATTCTGGCGCTGCGTAAAGGCCATTACCATTCTTAAACGTAAGACAAATAATATAATTAAATTGGGCTTCACGCCCTGTTTTTCCCCTTTTAAAATCAATTCGACCGGCCTGAACTTCCTCGCGGATAATCGGTCCGTAATTTTTTTTTTTTTCGAAAAACGCGGATAAATGTTCCAAGGGCGGCGTGGAATTAGTTGTAAAGCGCTACCAAGAGATGGCATCTCCTCGTCGCCCCACTCCGACGCCCCACCACGACGCCGTTGTTACTTAACTGATCTAATTAGGTTTTTTTCTTCTTCTTTTGTTTGCAGCTGTTGGCCGAGGGAGCATAAACGGAAATGAATTGTCGGAATGGCGTCAGAAGTGCAGGAGAAGAGCGGCGCTGAGCAGAGCCGTCAGCATGAGGAACAACAGCAGCAGCAACAGGCGCCGCAGCAGCACCAGACCGAAGACAGGCAGGGCAAAGCCCAGCCGAAGAAGCCACCAGGTAAGCGCCACCGAACAAAAAAAAATTCCTTTTCTCTATCTCTTCTTTTTTTACACAAAAAGAAAAACCTTTAAATCTCACTTAACGCTTTACTCGCCTTATCTAGTCACGTCTCTCGTCTTATTCGCCCATTATTTCACAAACACAAACTGAATTCCGAAAAAATTACGTTTCGAAAATTTAAATTCTATAAAATTTAAAAAAAAAGGCTAGAAATCTCAAAAGAATTTTTTTCTTCGAATTTACTAATCCTTACGGCTTATACAAAATACTTTAAATATTATCACTAAGATCAGCTGAACAATTAAAAATACAACCGTCTATCCAATTTTTAGCCTTTTTCCTTTGATTTTTCCTAGGGGGGAAGAGAGAAAAAAATTAATTGTAATTGACAAAACAACTATATAATAATATTATAATTTCAAATAATAATTAAATTATCTAAATTAAAATGTGATTAATAAATAACATAATTCGAACAAGAAAATATATTATAATATTTTTTCCATTCTTATTATAGATTTTTCAGATTTTCGGAATTTACGGGCTGTGGGCTGGGTCTGACGTGAATCATGTTGCTTTGTTGACAATTACTAACGTTTCGACATCGGCCAAGACTGCACTCTTGACAAAATAAAAACAAATCACGACCCAAAAAATTTTTTTGGAACAAATATACAGAATCTGTGTACGTAAATCCATAAAATAGGCCTACGGAAGGGCTTAACCCTCGTTACTTTTATCGTTTCGAGATTTTCCAACCAATCGCCATATATATTTTATTTATTTTTTCTCACTTTCTAACCCTCTTTACTAAAAACTCTACCTATTTCTTCTATTAATCCCTCTTATCTCGCCCTTTTGAGATTATCAATCACGCTCTTTCCATAAATCGATCATCATTTCTACCTTTACTCAATCAATCGCCATTTCTAAATCAATCTCTTACTTATTCAACCATCTCAATTCAAACTTCTCTTCTCTTCCATTATCAATCTTTTCCACTAACCTCATACTCAATCAATAGCGAAAAGTCTCTATCCCTCTATTTATCTTCTCTCTCTCTCTCTCTCTCTCTCTCTCTCTCTCTCTCTCTCTTTTTCTCACTCTCACTCACTCCCTCTCTCCCTCATGCCTCAATCTCAACCTCACCCCTCCCCTTTTATTCTAACAATTGAAATAGCAAACAAAACTTGAATGGATTTGTTTTTGAATACTCGACAATAATATGGTTGTGGTGACAAAAAATTCTTACCGGACTTTTTTCACACTTGATGACAATTGACGTATTTCTTTACCGAATCGTCAAATTAAGGTGTGTGCTGATAAAACCTACGGAATAAGCAATCGATTTTGGCTGGTTTTCCTTTGGAATTTATACAAAACTTTGGAAAACATGAGAAGGGCGGGAAAATCGTGGCGGCCTGATAGTTAGGCCTGATTTTAGAAAAAGGGTTGACGTTCGTCGAGCTAGGACTTCGGGGGGCTTGACGGCGCCAGGTGGATCAAGTACGTTGTCAAAACGGTGGCGGGGAAAAAATCACAAAAAAAACGATCTTAGGCTTATCAATTTCAGCACCGTAGGAAGCTAAAAATAAAAGTAATATGCCATCAAATGGTAAACATTTATCGATTTGCTCCACCGCCTCGTGTTTTTACAATGCTTTTTTTTCGAGTTCTTTGGGGCCTAATCTTATCAGGTGACCGGTTTTTTAATCAGCAAATGCTGCTTCTAAGAAAATACACAATCAAAAGTTCGGAAATATTGGCGTGTCGATTATCACGGCCTAATTACGAGGAAGTGAAACACTGAAAAATTGAAACCGAGTGCGGAACTTCGATCATTTTTTAATGAAATAACAAAGCCACTTGATTGCTACAATTGTTGTGCGAATCACATCTGAATACAATTTTTTTAATAAATTGATCATTGATGTTTGCATTTTGCAACGGGTCTGACATTTGTTTGCTCGTCTCGGGTCGCATTTGCCAGACGCAAACGGCGAGAACGTGAGGCGGGGGTGGAACTGTTCCAATCAATTCAAACACGGAAAAATCCGCAGAAAAATGATTCAATACCAGCTGAAAATACAGGCTGACAATTAGGCCAATTTTGGTTCAAATTAATTCTTCTTTCACTCCCAATTTCAAGCCTCTGTTCATACTTTCTCAATCTCTCTTCTCTCTGACATCATCGCACTCTATCAGTCAAGCTCTTGTATCTATCATCCAACTTTTCCTCTTCAGTCATCTGTTTGTTTTTCTCTTCCTCTGTCGCTCTTAGCCTATGTTAAGAAATTATTTTCTAGCCTGTTTAGTTCTATTATAAATCTCACACATATTAAAATCTCAGGGGGTTTACCTCGGGTGTTTCGCAATTTATTGTGCAATTGATTTATGATAATTGCACCAGAAGTGGCCTCGCGTAAAAGTTAGAAAAAGGAGGATTTTCCAATTGGCAATGGAAAAGGCTTTTCACCCCGAGGAGTTTCGTAAATGTCTCTCTTTTCGATTTACGATGCCACGCGCCGCCGTGCGGACCGCGGTAAACCGGATTTCTTTAGGCCCCACGCTTCGGAAAAGCCTGGATTTTTCTCCGAAGCCCCACTCCGCGCCTGACGACGTCCTTGGCCGAGAAACGTTGCATAAAAACCAGCATAAAATTATTATTTCATGAGGTGACTACGGCCCGAGAACCGCCCGAGATCCCCCTTTTGTGACAACCTTCCTGCCGAAAATCAAGGACCGCCTTCCCCTTGAGAACGTTCTCAAGCAATTACGCGTCTCTCTTCATTGTCCGACGGCACACGATACCAAACCGACGTTCCGCGACCTCCTAACTTTTCAAAAACGAAAAAAAACCATGAAGAACGAAGCTAGATAAAGTTCAATCTATCGATTCAAGACCAAATGAAATATACACCCAATATAAACCTAGGTACCAAAACGGATAGGAACGAGAGGAAAACACCTTTAAGAACGGCACCATCTTTTGGTGAACAGATGGATCTATAACCTACCTCAGTCAGAAGGATAAAAAGAAAATAAGGGAACTGGAATGGAATTCACTCATTGGACACATACAACCCAAGAACCTCCCAACAAATTTCGGAAGGAAAGAAGTGATAGAATATACCAAAGGAAGCAGAAAAAAATTGCGAATCCTGACCGAATTCTTAACAGGACACTAAATGGACATTTAAAGAAGATTGGTATAATCCAAGATGGCACATGCAGATTCTGCAAAGAGGCAGAGAAGACACCAACACACCTACTAACAAACTTTTGTGCCACATTTGCCCCCAGGAGGAAGTGTTGTGGGATGTACAGTGTGACTGTAGAAGAAATTCAACCACTGAAACCGGGCCCTAAACTAATCAAGTTCCTTGATGAATTAGGACTCACTGGGTGCTATAGGCATAGCATATACACTCCGACTAATACAACTTCTACATCTACACCCAGTGCTCACCTGAACATAGTTTTACTAACATTGACAAAATAATCAGGAGCACACAACAAATCTTACGATTTAAGAGGTAGTGGCAAGGTAATCGACTAGGAGTTGTTTTTCATTATTGACTAAGAAATCAGGAGAACAGAACGACATACAACCAGTAGGCAATATCATTTGACCAGGAGTCTATCAATTTGGTCACATACGTGTCATGAGGTTCAATACCCTGCGTATCACAAACATAAGAAGACGATATTATTACATTAGAAGTACATAAGTCCTAAGCTTTATAGAAGAAAAAAGAACTTATGGCAATCAGTTATTATTTGGAGGTCGTGAGATGCTTTCTGGTATGACGTAGGTTTTAGAAAAATATTTTCTTTATCGTGCCAACGTTTCGATTTTTATTGAGATCATCTTCAGGGCCTGGGATTAATAAACATTGTTTAAATTTTACAAATACATGTAGGATGTGAAAAAAAAATCAATCAGTTAGTTAAATTTTTTGTAAATTATGGGCTTCTACTCAGATTTGTTGTTTGCACGATACGGATTTCGAGCATTAAACGTAAGCACTAGCGTTAAGCTCATCATAAGTAGTACTAAGCACTCTTACAATTCAAGTCAAGAGACGTGTTTCTAACTCTTGTAACTTGCTGATGAGCGTTAATGCTCATAAAATAACAAATCTGTGAGTAGAACCATCGAAAAAATCTACATACTCACCCCCCACTGTAATAATTTCTATCCGTTCTATGTTTGCCTTCGAAAAATATTCCTATTTTTATTCAGCTGCCGGGTGCAAAAACCGATGCGTGTAAAAAAATATAAGTGAAAATTGTTAGAGGTAGCATAGCTTAGAGAAGGAGAAAATTATGAAATCTCAACCTATACCGGGTAAATGGGATAATTTATAAAATTATTGCGATTTTAAGTTACTGCTTTGTGGAAAATCCTACACGTCATTTATTAGCGAGAAAATAGCCGATTTACAATCAAGTTTCATTCGGCTTTCTCGTCGCCCTTGAGTATTTTTTTAAATATTAAAAAAAATTTGATTACCTCTATCATGGGTGGCAGTAGGGGGTTGATGTTCAGTTCTAAAAAGATGTTGCTGGTTAAAGGTGATTAATTTGTCTTATTTTGATTTACTCCTTTTTTTATTTTTCCACAGCCTTGTACTCGAGGATAATCGCCTCGTTTCAAACACGTGTAAAGCGCAAACGTGACTACATCTCATCGCTGTTTTGTTTTCCTCGACGAATCGTACGATTAAAATACGAAAAAAATATGGATTCTGTTATTGATGTCTTTCTGTTTTCCCTTCCTGATAAACAGAACACTGTGCCTCCTTTTTTATTTTTGATACAGAGGATATTGGACCTCATGAAATTAAGAACACTGTGCCTTCAAATATACAGAACATTGAGGCTATATGACCTGATACAGAGGAGATAGTACTTACTTAGGATATTTTGTTACCTGTTACTTCCAGGTACATAGGACATTGTGCCCACTAATGATTTTGATAATATCCGCTCATATAACCACCCACGCAATCCTTGTGCGTAATTACTTCCACCAACCTATTTAAATTAACTTTATGTCTTGGTTCTGTACCGTGTATGTATTATTCAGACGATTAAGGCAAGATTACCCCACCCCATTTTTCGTTAAGGGAAAACTAAAATCCGGAGTCTATGTATACAGACCCGAGGTAACGATGTACCAATAGATGCATGGAGGTTGGAGCTTTTTAGGTCTTGTATGTGTGCGTTGTTAAATAAATAATACACCGTTTGCAAGCGTAGGGGGTTTCCCTCTGAAGTTTCCAGGCTGACTTAGCCGGTTTAAAAAATTCATATGACCTTTGTTAATGGAATCATCCTTTAATTTGAACAAGCATAAAGTACTTTCGCATCCCGGCTTAAAACACTGGGTTTCCCCTCTGCATATGATCATAATGCGCAAATTCGAAGGACTCGATCACGGAGACTTATGGTAAGTCGATTTGTTCATTATCTGTTTTATTTATTTGGTACTTTAATTTTTCTTACTTCCTGAAATATAGGACCTTATATCTCCCAAAACAAACAAATATTGTACTTTCTGATAGATAGGAATTATTGTACCTCCCGATAAATAGGACGATGTACTTCCTGATAAATAGGATATTGCTCGTCCTGACAAAGAATAGTCTCCTAATATTTCCTGATTTTAAGATAAATCCCTGTCTCATAGAATATTGACTGCACTACCTAATGCAAAATGCATTGTGTAGGATAATTTCGTGGGACAAAATAATGTGTCTCCTGATAAATAGGATATTGCTCATCCTGACAAAGTGTCTCCTGATATTTCCTGATTTTAAGATAAATCCCTGTCTCATAGAACATTGACTGCACTACCTAATGCAAAATGCATTTTATAGGATAATTTCCCGGGACAAAATATTATTGCTCGTCCTGATACAAAAAATAGTGTCTCCTGATATTTCCTGATTTTAAGATAAATCCTGTTCCATAGAATATTGACAGCACTACCTAATACAAAATGCATTGTGTAGGATGATTTCCTGGGGCAAAATATTGAATCTCCTGATAAATAGGATATTTATTGCTCGTCCTCATACAAACAATTTATGTCTCCTGATATTTCCTGATTTTAACATAAATCCCAGTCCCATAGAATATTGTCTGTACTACCTAATACTAAATACATTGAGTAAGATAATTTCCTGTGACAAAATATGTCTCTCCTGATAAATAGGATATTACTCTTCCTGAAGAAAAAAAAAAAAAAAAAAAAAAAAAAAAACTGATATTTCCTGATGCAAGGATAAATCCCTGTCCTCTAGAATATCGATTACTGATAGCATTACCTAATATAAAATTCGCTATGCCTTTTAACACTTTCTGATGGATAGGATTATTTCCTGGAACAAAATATTGTGTCTCCTGATAAATAGGATACTGCTTGTCTTGACAAAAAGAATAGTGTTTCTCCTGATATTTCCTGATTTTAAGATAAATCAGTCTTTTTTTTCTTTTTTTTAACGAGGGTTTGCAACAGCAGAGGTCGTATAAACCCTCAGGGTGCCGGTGTTTTTGAAAAAAAAAGCCCATCTGTAAGTATGTCGGGTTCGAATGCAGGGCCGCTGGATTCGAACCCGGGGCCTTTACCTTACAGTGATGAGCACCGTGTCAACGCCTAAATCGTTGCGGCCACCGACTCCCCCCCCCATAGAATATTGATTCACTACCTAATACAAAATGCATTAGCCTCCTAATACTTTCTGATAGATAGGCCTCTTGGTATTTCCTGATTTTAGAATAACTCCATGTCCTATAGAATATTGATTGCTCTACCTAATAAGAAATTCATTGCGCCTCCTGATCCATTCTGATATATAGGATATGTACTGGTTCTCAAACACACTTGAAATCAAAGTTATTAACGGAAAATCAAATATGTATTTCTCCCGTAGGTTTCGCTTACTTTTGCAATCTTTTTGTGACAGAGGGACGATATTTCAACAAATCTCGACTGGATTTACAAACTCACGAAGAAAAAGCCCCGGCTGTAAAATTTTATCAGGCCATTATTCCCGGTAGTCGATGATTAGTGCAAAAACCGGTTTAGTAGAGTCGTGAAACAGTCGAGATAGTAAAATATGAGTAATCTGTATAAATAGTTCGAGCCTTCCCATTTTTCTTCCATCTCATTCGTGACGATAAGTCGTGTTGACAACTTCCACGGGGCTTATCTCGGGCCGAGGAGGCCGTACAGGGAGCGTGCAGGGATTGATAAACCCCTTCCGTCGTGACGGATTTCGTGTATATCCCCTCGGGGAGGGGAGATTTGTTTTTCTGTTTTATTTCTTTTATTCGCATCGACCGATACTTATTGTTTTCGGTTCGGAGCCGTGCCGAATCTACAATCCGCTTCACAAGCGTTTGTCGCACTCGTTTCGCCCTCGTTGGCATTTTATGGCGATAAAAACGCTCGTCGGTACGTTTTCCTTGCTAAAATTGATGACTGGCCGATCTAATTAAATTAACAAACGAGTCTCGTTTTCCTATCTATGCAGTCCGCGATTAAAACGACACTGTTTTTTTCCCTCAAATATTTGTACAATTCAACTGAAATGCGTGGAAGAGGAAGGAATCAATCTTTCTAGAAAAATTCTTCTAATGTAAGTAACAATGGAAAATGGTATACGGTCAAAAACACGTATAAAATCGAAATTGACAAACGTTTGAACTCTGTTTCTCATATGCTCGCTCTTTGGATGAGTTCCTGTCATTTCCTTCTGTTCCTCACTGAAGATGAGCTATGCCGAAACGCCTTTGAGTAATTCAACGAACCAGCGAGTAAAGACAGACACAATAAGTGACCCTATGCCGATATAGCATACCGGACCAACACCCATCAACTCAAGACTACTTGATATGTACTCTTTGATATTTCCGATACAGCAGACTCCTTTGTGGTAACACTACTGAAGAGCTTCACAAGTTTCTCTTTTATTCCTAACATGATCTGGCATTTCAGAATTAACTTGTAAATTATCGACAGATTTCTCTGGAATTTTAAGTCGAAAAATCAATGAACTACACTTTTTTAGTGTGTATTTTCAAATTTGGACTCATTAATGTTTAATTATATTTTGAGTTATTCTCACGCCCATTTTCAAACCCAGCTTGAGACCTGACGAATTAAACCCTGAGAATCGATTGTCCTCCGCCCCGGGTCTCGGAGAAAATTTGTTTTTCTGTTTGCACGCCCGACGGCCTTGTGAAAAATAGATGACCCTCCACGGACCAGGCGGGGTGGATTTTTGAGAAAATGTGAAAGCGAGGCCGTGCGGGCCCCCACGGTAGGCGTATCGACAATTTAAATTAGAGCTGCACTCCTTGCAATCTGTACAATTGACCTTTAAACAATACCCATAAGAATTAATATTTCCCCTCATATTTCTTATCAAATCTTGCAAGCGTTGATTAATTGTCCTCAAATGAGTGGCTAAAATAAATTAAATTTCCTACTAAATATTCATTAATTTTAATTCCAATTAGTTATTCTTTTCATCTAAGGTTTTTGGTTGAGATGAAAAATAATATAAAACCTTAGATGAAAAGAATAATTAATTGGAATAATTAATATAGTAAATTATGATCACTAAACAAATATAGATTAATTAATTTTAATGCTTAGTACATACAATACATCAAAAATCACTTTCGTTTTGTAATTTATTTATTTATCAAAAATAAAAGAAAATTTAGTTTTCTTTCAGTCTGGTACAATTTCATGAATATTATAGATGGTTTGAAATGATTATACATGTTCAACATGTTCAGAAATGTTAGGAAAGGTGTACTAATTGTTACAGATATCAAGGAATAGTTAGAGATGGTTAAAGGAAATGAGGATTTGTTGAAAGTGTTGGAGATGGTTAGCAATGCTTGCAGATACTTAGGAGAGGTTGGTTTTAGAAATGGTCAGAGATGTTGAGAAACGGTAAGATATGGTTAGAAATTGTTTGAAGATGGCGAAATGCTCAAATCGTGTCCGACAGACCAAAACAGCAAGACTAGGAATGGCCAAACTACAGGTTCATCACCCTGCAAGACTCATTTAGAAATATCACAGTTTTCTAATAGCCTGAAACCCATTCAAAAGCTATTAAAATTTGTATCCTATCAGCGATTCCTGTTGAGCAAATGCTGAACCACATTTCCAGTACTTATATTTCTTTTTTGTTATATTACAGCTATATTTTATTATTCTTAATTGTCATCAGAGATTCTATGCAACTGCCCGCAAAAATGCCAGCAGCGCGTACCGACCGAGATCCGCCTTGGTCTGTACAAGGAGTTTTCTGAATTGGGTGACCATTACAGGCAGAATCAGTATTTGCAGTCTTACATCGAAATGAGGTCTGTGTACAAAAGGCTCTGGTGCCAGGAGGAGAGGGTTGGCGGGAGACTGCAACGGCGTGTCTCCTGCAAATATCGGATACCACTTGAGATACCGAAGCCCATATTTGAAACCGTCCAGACTCATCAGCCCAAACTACAGACTAGTAAGCTTATAAAAACCACCTAAACAATTTTTTTTCTACAATAATTTTTTTTAATATCATTTCTAGATTCAAAAGGGAAAGCGGCTTACATTGTAGGAATCAAAGATGGTGTCAAAACTATAGAAGTGTGCCAAAAGGCATTCATGAACGTTTATGGCATAACGGAAAAGCGGATACGCCTACAAAGGGAAAAGCTGATAGCCAAACTCAGGAGTGACTCGATGGAGATAAAGGAGAAGATGGAGGAGCCTAAAGCTGAAAACCATGTAAGCCAAGTCCAGCAAGTCACAACGCAAATAAGCGAAGAGCAGTTCATAGTGGACAGTTTCTTCCGCAACCAACTCTGGAGGCCTGAGTACATCGGGATACCTTGCGACAAGCTGCAATACCTCGACGTCTACCATAACGACGTCAAAGCTTGAACATTCCAGTTTAACCAAAAGAAACACCAACAGGAGGGAAAACATAAAAACCAAAAAAAAAAGTTTGACCAAAGAGTGTACTTAAAATTCTGATATCAGGGTACTTAAAATACCTAGCGTAATTATTCTTATACCAAGGATTTATTGTGATTTAGGGTTGTGAACCCAAATAACCAACATGGGAAAAAATATATTAACGGCATAAATATTTATTATATTTATATATTGCATTATCGCCAAATTATAAATATATAATAACAAAATTTATAAGGTGGGAGGAAATGTTGAATGTTTTTCTAGTTCTGAATTTATACTATGTTTAATTTTGCCTTTTCCTCCCCTCTAAAAAAAAGGCCAAATTATTTATGTTTAACATGTAAAATGTTGAGAATTTCGACTTGTTACTCGATGAGATGAGTTCAAAAGAAAAGATAGTGAACGTAAATGTGATCCTTTTTTGACAATACAGTTCAATGTAAATTTTGTTTTGTTCATCGAATTATATTGAATTTTATTTATGATTACATTGTTATTTTAAAGTTTCACACCTTTGAAAACAGCACTGCATCACAGTTCAAAATCCGGGACCAAGAACTCTTTTATCCTATTTCAGGTGAGTTGAATGAGCTCTTCAAAATCAAAAGAACAATCTTTTGATGAGCTGTAAATTTCCTTCTTTCCAAATATAACAGAAAAGATTAATTTGTAAGCGCCATGATAACAATGTAACGGTTGATAAAATGCACCCTATGTGTACCTTAAGCATAGCATAAGCCAAAACCATAATGTCTTTTATGAATCCTTTATAATAAAAATTATTATATATCATGGTGGCTCATTGGTCTGGGTGGAGATTGGTCACATGACTATTGTCGGATTGGATGTTTATGCTAGGTCATTAATAACTTCAATCTGTTATTAAACATAATGTTTTTCTTTTAAACATAATTAGAAGTTTTAGAAGATTTAAGTTCATATTTCACTAAAACTTATGCATTTTTACAACGTACATAATTGTCACTGAACCGAGTGCTACGTTATATTGTATGTTTTCATTCTTTTATTGAGATGTAGTTGCCGTTGTGTTAGTCTAATTTTTGAAAGGTTTAAATAATTTTCTACTCCACAGGAATTTGTGCCTTCTTTTTTATTGGATAAATAAATATTCTTTTCTTTCTATGTCAAAATTAAGTTAAAATTTCAAACAAATAATAAAATACTGTGGAAATCTGGCCTTTCCTGGTGGTCCGAATACTATAAACAAAAATAAAACCGGTGGAAAATTCAAAATAAAGAAAACAATATTTATCCTGTAAATAGATGTAAATGATTTTACTTTATTCTTTGTGAGAAATTTGACTGGGTGGAGATTGATTACACAAGTATCCAGGAAAATAAAAAATAGGGACCAAATTAAAAGATTATAATGGAAGGGTATTGGTGACCGCAACGGTTTGGGCGTAAGTAAGGTAAAGGTCATGAGTTCGAATCCAACGGCCTTGCATTCAAACCCAACATACAAATGGGCTTTTTATCAAAAACAATGAGGGTTCACATAACCTCATAGTTGAAATACTCTCGTATAAAAAATAAATAAATAAATAAATAAAATAAAAAATATAAAAACAGGAATGCAATATTGGACTGATGATTATTTTTATCAACAACGATACATCATTTTGTTGTTTCTAATCTCTGTGGAGGAGTATTAATCCAACTGAATTATTTACTAAGACAAGTTTCAGTTAAATAAGAAACATCCTTAAATCTTTTAAAAATCTAAACCAAGTGTTATTGCATTTCATTGAACTAAGTGGAGAAAGATTTTTAAAAAAATATTTGAACTGATGATAATGCTATCTTGTATGTTACCTCATTTCATTGTAATGTATGATAATTTTGGCAATATTGGAAATTATAATTTATATTGAGTATGTGTAATCTTCAAAATTCTTTCATAGAGTGAATTTGATAATTGACAAATGATACTTGATTTCCCTCAATCCATCGGTTTCAATGACACTTAAACTTCATATGGACAAACTTCCAATTAAGTTTCAAAAACTAGTGTGAAAACTAAGTTGATATAATGTTCAATATAGCAGCAATGGCATCGAATGTTTGAAATATATGATGTGTCACTCATTCACGACACAATAATTTCAATGTAACCTGAACTTTGATCTTTCAAACGACCAATTACTTTTTTAAAATTTTGCGACAATTTAATCCTCAAAGAGGAGCTGTCATAAAGTAAATATTCAATGTTCCAATCTATCTATAGTTCAATGACAAGATTCGGAGGGGATTTGGATGGAGATTGACCTGGAAAATTTTATAGGAATGATGATTTGCTATATTTGACATTACATCAGCCCTTTGTTGAACATTACGTTTACACTAAATTCCATAAAATTAATTAACGTTGAACAAATATTTATCTTACGTTGAATATGCACTTGAATATAAAATTAATATATTTCATATTTTAATTAGACGTTTTAAAACATGTTGCTCAAGCATCATTGAAACTGGTGCACTGTGGGGTATCAAGGATCATTGAATTACCATCATCCTCAGTGGAGATTGATCAATTTAACTCATTTTGAATAATTAAAGTATATTTTAGAAACTTGATTTAAAGTCGTAAAAAGATGAAGTCCAATAGTGAAATCGGTGCATTGTGGAAAATCAAGTAGTCAGAGAATTATTGTTCCAAGAGGAGGTTGTTCAAAAACCAACATTGAACATACGCTTATGCTATGTTGGACATTATATCATGCCCATCTTGAACAAAAAATATACAATATATGGGAAGGTTCGAAAAATGTTTCTCAAATTTTGTCAAAACTAGTCCAACATGTAACAAGATTCATTAGGGTGTGATAATGCGCAGTGGAGATAGAAGACAATCAGAAAGATGTTAATTCCAGGTTGAACGTTATGTCAATATTTAAAACATTGTTTGAATTTTTAAATAAAAACAAACTGAAGGCTTAATTACCAATTAATTAATCAATTCATTAACGCAAAATCTGTCTAATTATTAATTTATTAATAATTGACATTGTTACTTATGTAGTAGTATTTATATAAGTAATTTATTATTTATTTATTTACCAATTGATTATTTATTATCGCTGTAAATACTGATTTATTTATTTATTGCCTATTTATATTGTTGTTTGTTAATATTGGTACATTTGTTTAGATTGTTTATTATCACTGTAAATACTGATTTATTTATTTATTGACTATTTCTATTGTTGTTTGTTAATATTGGTACATTTGTATAGATTATTTATAATTATTTATTTACTAATTGATTGATTAAGAGGTGAGAAGCCTGGGTAGTTCCGGAGTGCTGGGTTGGCTGGCTCGGGTTTTCTCCGGAGGGTGCTCCACATGCAAAGGGCAAATGGTCCCCGGGAAGTGGGGAGGATGTGGACTTTTCCAGGGGCCCCTGTGGCCATGTACGGTTCTGAAGGATGAATCAACTGACACTGAAATCGGTGGATTTAGGAAAATTGAGTATGATCCAAGAATTATTGTTCCAAGTGGAAATTGTTCAAAGGCAAACATTGAACAAACGCTTATGCTATTTTGGACGTTATTTCATATACCCTCATTTTTACATAAAATATACATAACATGACTTCATTTCCCGACAATACAAATGCGAATGTCATTTGGATTAAGCCCAACTTTGGGCTCTCCCAGTTCCTGAGAGGCCATGGAAACTTCAGATCATACTACACAGATTCCGCCTGTCAACCTCTGCAATCTGCGGATGGTGCGACACGAACAAGGCTATGGAACATGTCCTATTCCACTTTACGAAACCCACAGAGAGCCGCTGAAAAAAATGTTCAAATCTGGCCAGCAGAAAAACAGAGGGTTGTGATAGGCAAGGAAACTTATGAAATATTCCACAGGGTTGTGACTGACATAGCGTCGAACAAGAAGCGAAGTAAAGATTGAGGAGGTAAAAGAGGGAGGAAAACTAATAAGTATTTAGATTCCCTATTTTTCATAGTCCGCTTGACCAATTAATATCATTCAATTAATTAAGGTTTTTAGTTGAGATAAAAAAGTCAGTGTCACGAGCGGGATTGTAACCCACGGCCTTCGGCTTGATATGCCACTACTCTACCACTTGAGCTATCATGACTTCAATCCTCTCGGGCACTAACTTCCTATCTCAACCCCACCTTTTGAATTTTCCCTTCTTTTTGCCATTTTTCAAGTATTTAGATTGTTAAAACTTTAGGGAAATTGGGTTGTTTCTCTCATTTAGCTTAATATTTATTTAAAATTTGTTGGAAAAAAGTTTCAAGTATGTATGTACTTTAATAAGTTTAGCTACTATTTATATTATTTATTTATTTAATTTTTGACAAAACCTATATGTAAATCCATGTGAGAGAGAAACAACGGAGTACCCATTTAGTTTATTTAAATGAAAAGCTCGTTCCTTTCCCCTCTTAATTCCTCAGCATCTAGGAAATAGGAGGGAATTTTAGTCTCAAAACAACAAATTCCATGCGCCCTTTTGAATTAAGTTTAGAGTACGGTGGGTCCACCTGTATAGGGTCTCCCTTAGGAACGGCAGAGAAGAAGGAGGATAAATAAAATAACATGACTTCATTGGAACTTTCAATATTACTAATAATTGGAATGTGATCATACACAGTGGAGATTGATAAAAGACTAATATCAAAACAGATGTTTATGCTATGGTGAACATTATGACAACTCCTTTTTGAACATTTAATATGCAGCACATTTTATAATTTTGAAATTCTTTAGGATGAAGTTAAACTGTAATTGAAATCGGAGCATTGTGGAAAATCGATCAGGGAATTGTTGTTCCATGTGGAAGTTGTTCAAAAACAAACATTGAACAAACGCTTATGCCACATGTATACATTATTTCAACATAAAAACTGCTCTAACCTCTTGAACTATGACTTCGATCCACTCGGACACCAACTACCCATCTCAACCTATAATCTTTCGAATTTTCCCTCTTTTTTACCATTTTTCAATGGCAAACTTTTTCATCTCAACCAAGACTTTATATAAAAACAATAATTAATTGAAAGAAGTCAATTAAACCACTAAACATAAATGGATTAATATAAAATATGCATAACATGACTTAATTGGAAGGTTCAAAAAATGTTTCTCAAATCTCATTGAAACTAGTGCAATGAGCAACAGGACGCATTGGGGTGTCATCAGAGACAGTGTAGATTGATAAAAGACGAACATCAAAAAGTTGTTTATGTTATAATGAACAATATGACAATTCCTTTTTGAACGTTTCATATGCAGTATATTTTATAAACTTGGCTTTAAAATCGGAAGGATGAAGTTCAACTGTCAATCAAATCGGTGCATTGTGGAAAATCAATCACAAGAATTATTGTTCCAAATGGAAGTTGTTCAAAGATAATCATTGAACAAGCGCTTATGCTAGGTTGAACATTACGACAACACCTTTTGAACATTATGTATGCAGCATCTTTCTTAAACTTTTTGAAGTTGATGGATGAAGTTCAAGTGTCACTGAACCAAAACAAATCATGTTCATAGTGATAAACATTAAGTATTGATTGTCAAGCGCTACGACAACCCTCTTGTGCAAATTAATGTCTGTTGTAAGTGTATTACAGAATGGAGATTTTAAACGACAAAGCACCAGAACCAGCATTATTGAACATCATGTACCACTGACAATTGTAAGTACAATGTAAGCTTGGCTGTCATGTATCATCGTACGAAGTGGAGATTACTTGTTTATACGTTGAGATTGATTTGTTTATACGATTGTGTAGGTCGATGAGTAATTTTCACATGTACGAATCAAAATAATATTTAGTGAATGTTTAATTGAAATAGGCATTACATAGGTTGTTCACTCACCCTTTCTAACTTCTGGAAGTACTCCCTGAGGAAGGCGATCGGATTGTCCGGCCTGGAGACGCAGAGCTGGACGATGCACTCTTTGAGTACTTGTTGAATCGAGTGCCTCTGCACGTACTCTTCGCACTCGCGGAGCCGCTGTTCTTCCTGAGGGTTGCTCGCCATCCTCGCGACAAGCCGTTCCAGGTAGAATTCAATCGTGACGCCCGGAGAGCGGATTTGACGCGGATTAGAAGAGGTTTTTCTGAAGAACGGGGGTCCGAGGTTGGACTACTGCGCCTTTCGACGGGCGATCCGTGGATTTGAGGAAAAACGGGAAAGAAAAACACCCAGGCCGTCGGATTGAAAAAGGACCACCCTCGGAAAACGGGATCGCCCTGGTATTCTGATAGACTGGGTCAAACAGCTTTCGATTGTGATTGATGGACTATCACAGTAACAGTACCTCCGTATCTGGCGGCGCTATCGACTCCAAAAAAGCCCGCCATTTTTTAAAACGCTTCTAGGCCATTGTGATTTACAATTACTATTGAATCAGTTTTTGTTAAATACAAGTCTATCGATTTTTACTGCGTTAAATCATTTTTATAATATCCATCAAAACATCAGTCTTTGGTCAATTTCCACTGAGTACAATGAGAAGCTGTGATAGAGCCGGCATGTTTCTGTCTCAGCCTTTCCCATCCGCTTAAGATGATAGTTAAGATGGCAGTGCCCAGTATAACTATAATTCTTCTCAAATCCTTCCTGCTAGAAAGATGAACCCCTTTGCTTTATGTTTTGAGAGATTTATAAATCTCTTAGCCTGCCTCACATCTGGAATGTTTGTCCACGGTTTGAGTTTTTCTTTCTCAGTCCTTTTTTCCAGTTCCAACATAAGCATACACTCCAGAGGAATTAGGTGTGGTTCTGGTCTCATGGGTTTTTTGGCTAGTTGATCAGCCTGTTCATTTCGTTCTATGCCTTCATGTCCGGGAGTGAACAGAGTTGTAGAGAAAAACTAGGGTTTCAAATAATATTAAACTTGGCATAAACATCTTTCCAGTATTTGTCTTAGGGATGGTTAGGGAACTGTTATGTCAATTTTATGTTCAACATTATGGTTACATACATCTGTCCAATGCCTGCCATCAATCAATCTGCACTCCATACAAAGAAAAATGGCTATTCTTGATGGTTGTTAAAGCTACTCAAAGCTCATCCTTTAAAACTTCAAATTATTTTTTAAAAATATTTAGTTTTATGTTTAAAAAGGGATTGAAATAATGTATATTCAGGATAATCAAGCATAATCTTCACCCCAATGGTTGCCTTTGATTAATATCCACTCAGTTTAATAACACTGATGATTATTAATTTCCCACAAAGCATTAATATAAAAACTAAACTTTAATCTTTAAAACTTACTTTATGCTTTAAAATATAGTTATAATTATATGTTCAATGTTTGTCGTTGCTCAATCTTCTCTCAGTCCAATGGCATCCAGTGTTACTTCTATTCCCATAATACTTCCCTTTTCCATATACCACTTGAACTTGTCTTGCATCTTCAAATTATGTTTTAAAAAAATAGTGTCCAGTTTATTAACGTAATGTTGAATATATTGGTTTTGAAGTAGGTTTAATTATATTTTGTGTAAGCCAAAAACTTGAGCAATCAAATGAATCGGGGAATATTGCACACATTCCATGTTTCGTTATTTCAATCCTAATTAAGCATAGTTTACACACTTTAAAAGACAAAATTTTATAAATCATATCTAAAGTTTAAAAAAGTTAAATTGAAGTGTCATTGAAACTGATGCGTCATAGGGAATCGAGTAGACTGTATGAAATTGAACGGATTGTGGAGAATGATTACACCCATTGGATTATTAATTATATTATGTTTCACATATTATTTGAACCCTAGCCCTTTTGGCGCCCCCTACGTACATTTAAAAAAATAAGAAAACTTGTTAAAATGATGAAATAAATATTATTTCTTCAATCTTTTTTGTTATCTTAATTGTTGTTTTAATTTATTTATTTTTGCGTTTTTTTAATTAAAGACTTTTTATATTTTGTGGATATGTTTGTGTTGGCCAGATTGGGAGCACGCCGGTCAGTCACGACCTCGCGACCTCCATTTTCGTCTAGGTTATAGACGTCTCGTCAGTCCGTAGCTCGCGTTTCCATCGATTTTCCGCTGGAAATTATATTCAATTTCCATTTTTTGTGAGTATTTTTAATTTTAATAATATCCATGTTAGCTTAAAACCGATTCAAAACCATATTTTTGCATACGTACTGTTTTTTAATCTGCTACCCTCACACACACACGTGTCCTCATTGCTTCCAATCTCCTGAGCGATTTTATTTTCAATTTTTTTCAAAAATTTGACGTTTATTTAAAAAAATAAAGTTACAATTACATAAAAAGTCAAGCAAGGACCTTCCTATAATTTGAAGTTTTTACTGAATAAACAGCTATTTTAGTGATTGCGAAAGTTTAAAATTCAAAGTAACGACGTTTTTCAATGGCAATGAATCTATAAGGTTGGGCACACACCAGAGTGCTGAGATACTTTGAAATGCTAAGATCTTTTAAGTCGTACGCGATATGCGATAATTTTCTTGTAAGATAACGCAACGCTCAGGCCTATAAAAAATGTGAAGGAATGACAAAATTAGTTAACATCTGTATGATCTGATTGTGGCCTGTTTCGTAAGATTTGCGTATCAAGACAAGGCCTGCTTGTCTCTTCTTTCAGTGTTGTACGGTATTGCAAAGTGTGAGGATGGCAAATTCAAAGTATTGGGACCGGCTTTGGATTGGCTGGCTGGCTCATGTCATATCGCTTCGGTATGAACCTCACATATCCTAGGATAAAAATCTTGTATCTAATGTGTGCCGTTTAGTGACTTAATGATTATTTGGAGATCATGAGATGCGGTCTGGTGTGACGTAGTTTTAGCAAAACATTATCTTTATCGTGCCAACGTTTCGATCTTTTTTGAGATCATCTTCAGGGCCTGGGATTTATAAACATGTATAATTTAAACAATGTTTATAAATCCCAGGCCTGAAGATGATCTCAATAAAGATCAAAACGTTGGCATGGTAAAAAAAATATTTTTCTAAATCTACGTCACACCAGACCGCATCTCACGATCTCCAAATAATCTTGTATCTAATGTTTCTGCGATAATTATCTTATAACTCAGGTGTGAACCCGGCCTAAAAGTTAGCGATGACAGTATCAATATGTCATGTATCATCAGGTCATATTATAGAAAAACACTTGTACAGCAGTTACATCAGTACACTGTAATTCTAATGATCGCTGATAATTTCGAAGATGAATGTAATGTAATTGAACACAGTCGCATGATATTATTTAAATTGCCGAGCATGCAAAAATATATTAACTCTATCCCCCCCCCCCCAACAAACGTAACCATTTACAGCATATGATGGACTTTTGTGAATATTCGCTTCAGTTTATCAAATAGTTGTAAAGGATTTTGCGATAATACTGACTTGCCGAGTATGGAGTTTATTTAACATACTAGCAACATCATCTGTAATTACGGCTGCTTAATTGTAAAGTGAATTACAGATAACTGAAAAATATGCATATAGTTTCATCTGTTTTGATTTTCAACAAGCTTAAACTTTTTGGGACTAGAAGAAAATCTCATTTGGCCTTGTATTCTCCCCAGACCCAGTGATGAGTTATCTCGTCGTTGTGGTCGTTTGCCTTTTTGGAGCCCTAGCTGGAACTCACAGTATGTATTAGGCTGATGCACCTGCCTTGGCAATGGAGACCTCCCACACCCTACCCTTTCCCATCCTCATCATCAACAAACCATTCTTTTCTCACCTTTTTGTTCACAATCTGGCCTCTTTCAAACTTGCGAAATTGCAACCTCTTTTTTTCCTGGAAAATCACGAGGCTCCAATATCTACATCTCATTTGACATGCCCTACTTTCGTTTACCTCTCTCCCGTGCTCTTCCCTACCATCTACTCTACTGTCTTACTGATTTTCGCCTACTCTTTTCCAAGTGTCATCGATTTTAGTTTTACATTGTTTTTAGTTCACAATAATTTTTGGAATATATTTTGGTTTATCTTATTTATATATATTTTTTTATACATATAGTCGACTCTCGATACCTTGAATCTCAGGTGGAAATTAAAAAATTTGAGTATTTTTTCTAGATTCGGTGACCAAATTGGAGAACTAAATTCAAAAATAGACTGAATCAAAGAAAAATACAAAACTTTCACACTTATAATACTGCTCAATTCCTTACAATTCCTGTTTAAGAAGCTTAACATTTTTAGAGCTTTATTTATAATCATTTCTGATGATGGATGATGCAAATTGAGAACAACTAGATCACCAGGTTAATTCATTCGATATCGCTTCCTTCCACGACAGATTACTTTTAGTCTGGATGTCTTGGTGTTCTGAGTTTGAATCATTATTGTTACCAATGTATTTATTTTGACATACTTTTTGTTTCAGGTACATCTAGATAAAAGTGTACAATGACAAACTCAAAAGGTTATCGCCGTGGTACCAGAGACCTGTTCTCTAGGGGTTTCAGGCGTCATGGTACCCTTCCACTCTCGACGTACATGAAAGTGTACAAAGTCGGCGACATCGTCTCAATCAAGGGTAATGGAGCGATGCAGAAAGGGATGCCACACAAGTGTTACCACGGGAAAACGGGCCGGGTGTATAACGTGACGCCACGCGCCCTTGGTGTTATCGTGAACAAGCGCGTCCGTGGAAAAATCCTCCCCAAGAGGATCAACATCAGGATCGAGCACGTCAACCACTCCAAGTGCAGGGAAGACTTCCTCAGGAGGGTCAAGGAAAATGAGAGGTTGAGGAAGGTCGCCAAAGAGACGGGTGTACGCGTCGAGCTGAAACGACAGCCGGCACAGCCAAGAGCTGCTCACCTCGTCCGTGTGACTGAGGAGCCTGTTGTTCTAGCTCCCATACCATATGAATTTATTGCTTAAATTCTTTTGATTAATATATGTTTTTTTTAAACTAATTTCTTTTTATTTACTAAAAATCTACGATCTACATATCAATTTTTACCCCTTTTTTTAATTAAGTACAATTATACAAACAAGGTATTATTGCTACATTTAACATATCTAGTGTAGCAATAATGGTAGAAAAGTAATCAATTAATTCAACAATTAATTATTTCTGCTATATGTTGAACAAAATTAAACTGTTTTCCTGTTTTGCACATTTAACTCCTGCATTTAACATGTTAATTCCTTATAAGACTGCCATTATCAGGATGGTCAAACTCTACCTTGACCATTTTATTAATGGTTGAAGCATTTATTATAATTAATTCTATATATCTATAAAGTCTTATATGAATACAAAAACAAAACAAAATTCTTAAGAGAACTCAGTCAAATGACAGAGTAGTGTCATCATAATTCCTTCATAGTCTGACGACAACATAACATATGCAATTACTTAATTTAAATATTTAAATGGTTAACTCACCGAGTCTTAAGCAGATGGCAAAGGACAGGTAAGTACTGTCCATTATGGTAGAAGTACACACTTCCCGAGGCGTCAGAGTGCGACAGTGTTAGTCTAGTGAGGGAACCTAACCTAAACAAAATAATAAACATTAAACAAGAAATAATTTAAAAAAAGAAATTCACAAAATAAAAGTGAACTTTTATGGGGAAAAGGGAACTCAGAGACTGAGATGACTATGTACTGGGAAGAAGGAAATAGACAAGTGCATGGTCTGCCCTGTTGGTCCTTTTGTCTCGTGCGCAATACCGAGGGTGAAGTGAGAATGTTCTAGGTAGAGCAAGTGAAAGGAACCAACAGATTAGAGGGGGGGTCTCATGCCATGCACTTGTCTATTTCCAACAAGTGTGGGGTGATAACCCTGTAATTTGATCCTTACAGATCAATCATCTATGTCTGCCTATACTCAATGGGTTGGTCAGTCGGATGCACTTTGCCATCTTCAGTCATAGACCTTGTGAGCTTCAGTGAATACTTCACTGACAGACTCAGCGAGAATAGGCATTTTTTTTTTTTTTTTTTTTTTTTTTTTTTAAATATAAAAATGTGCAGTTTGTTAAAAGTATTCCGAAGAAGATCATGTGATTAAAAGACACAAAGAAGATGGCAAAATGCTGAAACGCTGATTACAATGATTAAAACTGAATATTAGTATAATCATTGCAAAAAGTCACTTTTTAAGGTTTATTATTATATGCATGCGCTCTCATCTAGATTTGTAATAACAGAAGTATTGCTGCTGAGGTAGTGATTCTCACAAAGATCAAACACCAACTCCCAGTAAATAAGATATTTTTCACATTCCTCGATTTGTCTCATGCTGTCAGTGTTGATCAAATATCCAACTACGTTCATTTAAATTGTTTACATTAACAACTTGTTCATGTCTTTTGAAACCAGTTCTATTTTATTAATGACAGCATGAATAACAACGATATTTGGGAATCTATTATCAGCCAATATTAAATGCATGAAGAATATAAATAATTTTTAAAGTGTGTGTAAATTCCTCAGGTATATAAAGCTGGAAGATGCAGTTCACAAACAGCAGTGGGAATATATTTTTTAACAAAAAAGCCTTAACAATTTTTCAATATTAACATGGCAACCCCCCCCCCACAGTGCTGAGTGAATAGTGTTAAAAACTTAATTTAGACTCCAAAGTAATATTAATATTAATTCTGCACACTCAGGGCAAAACTGGATAAGCCAAATTTGAAAGTGCGTATCCAGAGTGAAATTAGGCATGAATGTCTGTAGTTGTTCGAGAACAAAAAAGTTTCTTTGCAAATGCGATCTCCAGTCTGCTGGTGAACTAACAGCTTCCATTACTGCCTTAAACGTTCATTGTTGCTCCATGCATACCTTGTGTGCACAATCATACAATACATTCATTGTATGATTGTGCACACATCAACATTTCTGCTTTGTGCGTGTTTAAAGTGCAGTTGTAAATAAATAAATAAATTAATTTTAAAAAAAATCAGTTTTTCATCGGAGGGTAGGATGGGGAATCATGACTCAATGTTATGAGTGAGTATGAGTATCTGGGATGGTATTAAACTGACGTAAAAAACAAATTTAAAAAAAAGGTCTTCACAATAAATTCTATCTGATCCTACCTAAAAAAAAAATTAAAAAAAGAAAATTTGTAAGGTGGGCATCACAATTAATTCTATATGATCCTACCTTCCCCCAAACTCTTCTAGTCAACACCTAATATTAAGTTTAAGGGTTTTATGGCAGTGTTACTAGATGGTATGCCGCTTGATCTAGTCAGATCATTTAAGCTTTTTTTTTAATTATTCCATCTTTTTATAAGGTTATATTTTTATTTTATTTTTACGAGGGTATTTCAACTAGATTCAACTACGAGTTTATATGAACCCTCAGGGTGCCAGTGTTTTTGAAAAAAAAAGTATATCGATTTTAATCCAGTAGCACTGTATTCGAACCCGGAACCTTTACCTTGCAGTGATGAGCACCGAAGCCCCTGTTGTACACTTTACAACTTCATATTTCATCAGGATACACTTTTTGTCTTGCTATAGATATCCTAAAATTACAAAGGTTGATCAATTAAATCCTAGAGTTCTTCTCTACAAGGAATTCGACCATTCAAAGGCATTTCAGCTTTAATAAACAATAATCTAAAGTTGTCCCTTTATATTTTCTGTTGGTCCTTCATTCAAACTTAGGTGCTAACTTAATTGCTCCCCTTTGCATTGTAAATGCACGAGGTTGGACCTCTAATTTTTTGGCTTGAATTTCTCCAGCCAATTTCTTCAGCAGACAGTTTTGCTAATGCTGTATAAGAGCTCTTTTTGTGTGTCATATTAGCTTATGAAAGTATATTTTCTTTTTGTAAATAATTTTTCAAGCCATTTCTTCCATATGAGGATTTTATAAAAAGTTCAACTTTTTATTTATTTTAGACAAATTGAAATGGTTCAAAGTTGTTATTAATGGCACATTTAAGAAGTTAGTCCTAACAGCTTTACAAGGCTACCATTGTCTGTATGCCCCAACTTCATCTTGCCTGATACCAACTAGAATGCAGGTGGAGCATTTGTTTACCTTATTTGTTAGTTATTAATGCCTCATTTAAGATATGAAGATCTTATGGAACTTGAGAATAACCATCACAACCAATAATAATAAATGGAATTAAAAAGTAGAGTGCAGGTAGCCATTTTCTACAATCGGGATTTTAAAAAAGTTCAAATTTTCATTTAGTTTAGACAAGATATAATGACACAAACTGGTTTTTAAACTACTTTAGCAATAATAATAGATAAAAATAAATTGAATTCAACAAATAGCAGTGACGATATTGAATCTCTCTTTTATCTTTCTCCTCGAGGTCCGAGGAATTAAATGTTGATTGGATTAATTTTTATCCTGCTCCTGGATTCGTCAGGATCATCCCCACTCGGTTTTAGGCGGCCGGTCGAGGGCCGGTCCAATTGCTTCAAAGTCAAACGGCATTCGTTCGACGTCTGCCGGCTGCGTCCCCTCGCTACTTGCATCAAACACGGATTAAATTGACCCGAATTGACTATAAATTGACTTGGGACGAGGAAGGACTACACGTCGATATGCTGTCACGTTTCTCTTTTAGAGGTAAGCAATGTCATTTTATTTTTGAGCCTGTACTCGCAGTCATTTAGAAATTTTACGATTTCAAGTTAATCTCAATATAAGGCTAATAACAATATAAGTATAAGTTAAAAACCAGATTATTGCTAATAATTGTATGTATTAGCTTAATTAAAGATAGATTTAATTCAAAATTTAAACAAAACCATCAAAAATTGCCATTTTTTCAGTAATAAAATCGGTTCATCACATCAAATGGAAAAGATGAGTTTCAATATTTTAAATTTAGCGATTTTAAGATGTGATTTTAGACGACAAAGTTAAAATGACAATAATTACACGAGATAGTGTCAAATTGTTGACGAGTTTTACGCGAGAAAGTTGGCCCTCATTACAGATAGAACCAAAAATCACTGACAGTTAATACACGATGAAGGAATGTTCGGCTGACTCTATTATACGAGATAGAAAGGGGAAAAGTTACTACGACAGTTATTACAAGGTTCATCTAGCAATTTATTAAACAAGATAGAGGGGAAAACGAATTGAAAGAACACGTTTTATGACAATTATTACATGAGGTAAGAATGTTTATAATTTGAATTATTACACGAGATGGTATCAAATGCTATTTGATGGGAGAGTTAAATAGCAGTTGTTTCAAGAGGGGAGGAGTTACTATGATAGTTATTTCGCGAGATAGGAAAATTTAGATGGCAATCAATACTGGAATGGAGGGAAAAGAAACTTTGACGTTTATTACACGAGATAGGGCCAAAAGTTACAGTGGAAGTTATTACAGAAATGAGAAAGTTACGTTGTCTGTACAGACGCAGATATTGTGTCTATAATTACTATGACAGTTATTACAAAGATTAGAAAGTTACTTCATCAGCTATCACACGAGATTGAGTCAAAAGTTACAATAACAGTTATTGGGTTGTCCGGAAAATAATGCAGGATTTTAAGTTTTCATTAAAAAAAATCTATATAAAATATTCTGTTTACGTTTACAGGATTACTCATTTGTATNATTATTTTGATTAAAGAACATTGCTTTAAAGTAACTAGTTTCTTTTTTTTTTGTTTAATACCAAAATCCTGCATTATTTTCCGGACAACCCAATATTATAGGGATGGAAAAAAAAAGTTGCTCCTTATTACACGAGATTGACTAAACAGTTAATATGACAGTTATTACGCGAGATGGGAAGATTAAGATGGCAACCAGTTCTTGGAATGGAGAGAAAAGAAACTGGCAGTTATTACAGGGATGAAAAAGTTATGGAGTCAGTTATTACACGATACTGGGTAAAAACGTTTCAACGACGGTTATTGCTAGGATGAGAAAGTTACGTTTCAGTTATTACACGAGATTGAGTCTATAGTTACTATGACAGTTGTTACGGGGTTGAGAAAGTTGCGTAGTCATTTATTACGCGAGAATCGAGTCAAAATTTACAATAACAGTTATTATAGTGATGAAAAAGAAAGTTACATTGTCTGTTATTACAGAAGATTGAGTGAATAGTTACTAACGGTTATTCCGCGAGATAGCAAAATTTGGATGGCAATCAGTACTTGGAATGGAGGTAAAAGAAACTTTGACGTTTATTACACGAGACGTTATTATGACAGTTATTACAGAGATGAAAAGTTACGTTGTCGTTATTACACGATATTCGGTAAAACGTTTCAATGACAGTTATCGCAGGGATATGAGAAAGTTCCGTTGTCAGTTATTATACGAGATTGAGCCAAAAGCTACAATGACAGTTATTACAGAGATGGAAAAAAAAGTTACGTTGCCACTTATTACACGTGATTAAGTAAATAGTTACAATGACAGTTTTTACTCGATACCTCACATTACGAGTTGAAAGTTAAAATGATTTAAAATGGAAAAATCAAATTAAGGTGTATAAAGTATTTACACATTACGCGACAAGTAAAGCTGATGTAATAGTAATTTTTCAAAATAAAATCACTAAACACCACACATTTCAAAATAAAGTTAAGCTGGTGTTTAATTCATGAATTGAGAAAGAATGGGTGTTAAACACAAGATGGGTGATAAGATGACAGACATTTTACGCGAATTGTAAGTTAAAGAAGACGGTGCATGCTAGATGAAGTTTTATTATTATTTTTACGAAAATGCTTTTGAAACAGGAAGGTTTTGCCCTTTGTCCAGGCGTTCCAGTTTTCAACTTATCTTTAATTGAGATATCGTTTATAAATAACGATAAGTGACAAGAATAAGATGCACTTACAAAATTTATACTTGTTTAGTCTACGATTTTCTTTTACTTGTTTAATTTACGATTTCTCTTTACTAGTCGTTACCTTGTTATTTGGATATTTATAGATTTGTCATATTTGTTGGTTTGTTCGATTTGAAAACAAATTTTGCGGTATGAACTGGGTGTACCGTTGGACATAACTGAAGTCCTGGGGTCAGTTCAAAACTAAAAGATAAAGACAATGTTTTTCAAAAAATTAAATTGATACATATGGTAGTGTACATGTGGTATTGTGCCCGGTGTACTTATAAGAAGTTATACGCCAATTTATACGTAGGGCATTGTGCAGCCTGATATATTAAGTGTATAAACCTCCCTCCCGCTATAAATGGTCAATTATTCTATTTATGCTTCCTTCTACTTGTTTACCTCTTGATCTTCCGTACTCTTGATATATACGTCAGACCTCATGAGTTCCCACAGTTATCCTGACGCTGTCAGATGCGTGAAAAATCGCCACCATCAAATGTGACTCACACTTTAATGAATTATTCTCATAGGCTCCTGATACTCGATTGAATATGAGAACGTTCTTTCACGAATTGATCAAATTACTTATTTTAATTAATTAATCTTTTGTAATGTCTTAGTTGAGATTAAAAGCCCGCTCGTGACACTAGTTTTTTCATCTCAACCAAGACTTAGATAAAAAGAATAATTTATTTATTTAAAGTGTTAATTGCTGATCATCTTATCCTATGTGAATTTGGTTTATAGAGACATATATTTAACACCGATCAGTCGAAGGAAAATTGACTGTTTATTAAAAAAAAGTTAAAAACTGGGTCAGTACAAGTCACCGGTTCTACTTAGATGCAATCTCCGAAGATTTAAGCCGCTGATAATATCAAAAATAGATTTTTCAGGGCTTGAAATGGACAAAATATTTGTGTATTGTGATTAAATCTTTATTTCGGTTAACTACAGAAAAGGATTCCGGCCGTTAAAATGGCTAATTAGCGAAGGTGGAACAAAACAGATTTTATCGCCGTCGGTTCTAAAATTATCCCCAGTTTTTGATTTTAAACCTTGAGTCTTTGGTAAATCTTCGTAAAAAGTCATAAACTTTTCTCAACCCGTTTCGTCCGATCTGTAGGGGTTTTCTGGAGGCTGGAAGTGGCAAAAGTGCCATTTCGCCCAACGTCTCGTAAGGTTTCATTCCATTTCAATCTAAATTGTCCGTTTGGCTTCGCCGCTTTTGCCCTTTGTTTTTCTCGTTTTTTAACACTATCGCGATATTCCTGACAGCTTTGTTTACAATCGTAAAATGATTAATCTACGTCTGAATTTTTTTTTCCTACAGAATTGATAAGGATCCTTTTTTTTTGTCATACACTCCTGATATTGATTTATTTCTGACGCAAATTCTTCTAAGACATCTGTTCTTGTTCATTTTTTTTTTTTTTTTAGTTTGTTATAAATACTCTAAAACAATGATAACTCTCATAACCTAAGACGCATTTAAAATGTAAAGTAAAATAGGACGAGACATTATCTATATTTATATAACTGGGACAATATTACAACCATTTAAAAACACATCCGTACAGTGTATATTAAAAAGCTAGCGCGCATTAAAATTGATTAGCTGGGTCGATTAAACTTCCTGGAAAGATACGGTTTATCCAGGGCCGATCTTCGGTTCAAGCTCAAATCCATTCATTTTGGTTTATTGATGAAATATTTGATTATTAAATCGTCAAATGAGAGAATCGAAAATGGTTGAGTTTATTACACGGGGCTATGGAAACGAAAGTAAAAGTGACTGTTATTACACGAGATGGTTGCGTTAAGTTATTTAGACACTACAGAAAAAAATCCAAGCTGACTAAGTTACAACCGATAAGAAAACATAAATCATTGTACTCCAGATCAAGTTAAGGCGACTACTTTATACTTACAATTTTTATAAATATTTTAATTGATACAATATAAATAAATAAACAAATCCATTCAGCCAGAATTATATTTAGCCCCTCCTGTTTCAAAATTAATGGATTTGAATTTTGTTGAGAATGTGCTGGAGAATTTTGCTGAAAATTGTACAAATATTTTAATTTATATAATATAAATAAATGAATAAATCCATTCAACCAGAATTTTATTTAGACCCTCTTGTTTCAAAATTAATGGATTTGAATTTTGTTGGCAATGCGCTGCAGATGAACGTCCGTTATTTAAAATAATGAATTAATAAAGGGGTAAAAAATAAATAAACAAAATGTATTACACAAAAAATATAATCAATTAATTAATCTATATTTAAGATATTGGTTGAGGTAAAAAAAAGTCAGTGTCAAAAGCGGGATTCGAACCCACGACCTTCGGCTAAATACGCCGCTGCTCTACCACTTGAGCTATCGTGACTAAGATAGATCCATTCAGACACTAACTTCCCATCTCAACCTCACCTTTTGAATTTTCCCTCCTTTTTGCCTTTTTTTTTATATCAACCAATACCTTAAATACAGATTAATTAATTGAAAGATATTATTTGGTCAAGCGGACCACGAAAACTAGTGAAAAAATCTAATATTTTTTAAATCTATAAATGACGATTTCTGTATAAAATTAATTACATTTATTTTATACTTACAATTTTTGTTAATATTTTAATTGTATTTAATATGTAATTTATTCTCTGACAAAAGATTATGTATTAATTCATTTAAGAAAAAAATGGCGTAGTTTACTTGAAAAATATTTGGTTTATGTATTTATATATACTAATAATATTTATAAATTTATGTGTATATATATATAATAAATAGTTTAATTTATACAATATAAATAAATAAACAAATTCATTCAACCAGAATTTTATTTAGCTTCTCTTGTTTCAAAATTAATGGATTTGAATTTTGTTGACAATGCGCTGGAGAATTTTGCAGATAAACGTCCATTATAATAAATTTAGAATAATGACTTAATAAATACTCTCCTGCTAGAGAAGAACTATAATATTAAATAAAATTAAAATATTAATAAAAATTGTAATTATAATGTCAATATAATTAAATGAGCATAACTTCTTATTTACAGATTAAAAATATTATTTTTGCTGTAATAATTTCATTGTTGATTAAAATAAAAAACAAAAATGTTCTACGACGCGGAATAGTACAACTTGAAATCCTTAACCAATTTATGGTATGATTTAAAACGACAAATAATCAAAATACTGCTTTATTGCAGCAATCAGCTGTAAGCAAACTAGATCAGATAATGGTCAAAACTTGGATTTTACATCATTGTCGTGATTCTAGCGTTATAAAACCCTTAAATACCGACTTTCGCGGAAATCGGAGTAATTTAATTTTTTGACTGATAATTTCGACGACCGACATTCCTAGTAGAGTGCAAGCTCTCACATAATTTCTCCAAATGCTAATGGATCGATTTTCATGGTTGATAATTCGTTTTTAATAAATTGTCAAGTGCGTTTTATAGCTATACGAAACATTAAAATCGGACTAATAGTTCCATTTAAAAGAAAAAAAAAAAAGGTTTAAATTCTGACAAATCATTTTCTTATTTTATGTATTTTCTTGCAGAAATCTTTTGTATATTTTTATAGTACATATGTCGTTAAAAAAAGGTTCCTCTTCTTTAAAATGGTCTGTTTAACGTTAAAATAATTTTAGTCGTTTTTTTTAATTATAGCCGTTTATTAATAAGATATTCCGAAAAAGACTTCTCAAAAACCGGAAAAGGGGTAAAAAAATCGATACATTTAAATTAAAACAAAAATTTATATTTAAGGGCCTCTAAAGGAGCTAAAACGAAATTTCACAATAGTTTCACGGGAAAAAATTATGACCTAGTTTACTTAAAAAATTTGGTTATTGATAAACTTTGATAGCTTTTACTATATTTTTCTTGCAATCTACATAAAAAATGCTGAAAAATGATTCACATGGCTGATTTGAGCAAGTAGAACTGCGAAATAATATTAAAAACCGTATAATTTCAACTTTAAATAATAATTTTTTTGCGAAACCAGGGCCTATTTACAAGAAGTGGCGGATCCGATATTTTTGAGTGTAGAATCACCAAAAAAAGTTTGGTCCAAATCCACGCACCAACTCGGTCGTCCCCATCATGTAAATCATAACGCGATGCCTCACGTTCAACGAAGTTTATTTCTGATGTTTTTTATATTCTGATTGTTGATATATCATATAAGATTCTTGCTGTAGAACCATTCGATAATTTCAACAACAAATCTGATTTTTTTAAACATTTATTGCTCCAGTATTGTATCTATTTCACCTGTGACCCTTAACTATCTTCTTAAGATAATACAGTCTGGATGTTCATTAATAAAGTATCAAGGGGAAAAAAGATATGCGAAAAACGATTTATAAGAGGACGAACGATGCAGATCAAATATAAAAAATGTATAAATAAAAGGTCGGTTTATGCAAATTCTGGCTGCACGTGTGATTCGCCAAGTTGAAAAACAAGTCCGCCTCCCCTTCATGCGTTTTCCCACTTGTCTTTTTTATTTTTATTTTATTTTTTATTTTAATTAGGTATTTTTTCTTTTGGCCTAGGGTTGCGCCAACTGGAAAAAGGGCCGGCGAATTGCAGGACACTCACGGTGAAAGTGGAAGCGCCTGAGATGCCCCCATGCGACTTCAAGCCCGATCCTTACAAGGTGAGTTGAAAATTTTTCTATGCCCGTCCCAGTCGTTCGGGGCTCAAGGACTTGTTTATCCTATTAGATATTTTCGTAATAATGCAAAGAAAAAAATACCTTCACGGCCAAACACTGCGTTTTAAATCTTTGTTTATCCTATTTTTTATATGTATTTTTTAATCATTTAAATGTTGATAAACCTCTCAGTGTATTGACTTATAATATTCGACAGTTAAATAAAAAATTTCTTCCTTTTGACAATACTTATTGAGACAGATTTTAAATAATTATACTTAAATAATAATAATAATTTTAATAATTATTATACTAGCTAAAACCGTCTGGGATCAAAATCAGGTTCAATCAATGTAGGTTGAAACACTTAAGAATATTTTGATTGGCTGTTAAAAAAGCACAGTAAGCCAATAGCAAGCAAGAATGGATTTTATTGCTAAAATATTACACTGACGTATAAACAAATAAATAATTAATTCAGTTGAATGCGAATTTATTAATTATACTTATTAAAAAACGGCTGTGAATGGATGGGTCAATTAAATTTGACCGATAGTGTGGAAACTATTAAGACAATTCTGATTGGCTGTTGAAAAAGCACAGTAGCCATTAGCAGGCAAGAAATATTATGAAAATATTATTTATTTTACTGTGAATTTAATAATTATACTAATTAAAAAAATATTGTGAATGGATGTGCCAATCAGATCTGACATATGTTTGTTGAAACACTTAAGAACCCTGATTGGCTGTTGAAAAAGTACAGTGGCCAAGCATGGATATTATTAATAAAATACTACACTGTCATATAACCAAATAAATAATTAATTCAGTTGAATGTGAATTTATTAATTATCCTTATTAAAAAAAACGGCTGTGAATTGGATGGGTCAATCAGATTTGACTTATAGTGTTGAAACCATTAAGACAATTTTGATTGGCTGTTGAAAAAGCACAGTAGCCATTAGTTAGCAGGAATGGATTTTATAGCGAAAATATTATTCTAATATTAGAAAAACAAATAAATTATTTATTTATTTAATGCGAATTTAATTATTACACTTATTTAAAAAAAGGTTGTGAATGGATGAGCCAATCAGATCTGACATTTGCTAGTTGAAAGCCTTAAGAACATTTTGATCAGCTGTCGAAAAAGCACAGTAGCCAAGCGTGGATATTACTGCTAAAATACTCTTCTGTCGTTTAACAAATAAATAATTAATTATATCTATTAAAAAACGGCTGTGAAAGGATGGATCAATCAGATTTAACTTATAGTGGTTAAACTCCTTAAGACAATTCTGATTGGTGTGCAGTAACCAATGGCGAACAAGAACTGGTTTTATCGATTTCCGTTATATAATTATATAAAACAATAATTCGACGCTCAAGGACTCAAAGACGGAACAAATAAAAAGATAAAAACCCATGGCCGTATTATTTTCATTATAATAATGCAGGGAAAAATCCTCACGGCCAAACATTGCTCGTTTTTCTTTTTGTAAACCGTTTACGAACACCTAGTTAGTTTTTATATAAGAAATTATGAAAATAAAATATTCACAAAAAATATAATAATCTTTCCCATATTTGTAGGGCTATTTAACCTGATCACGTCCGAAAGTTCGTTGAGCAAAATTTCCAACACGGTCTATCACAATTCTTCTGCTTCTTCTTCCTAAATCCTAAATAATGGTATTATCGGCCCGTGGATCCGAGGATTTAGACTATGTAGAGGATCGTGGTGTGGGACAAACCGGCTCGGTACGTTGACACTCGGGTCCAAGGGGCGGTATACTAGCGCCGAGGGACCGCATTCTTGCATTTTTATCCTTTTTTAAATTTTATTTACTTTTTTTATTGTTATCTTCAAATATTCAATCTTCTTCTGGGATTCGTTTTTTCCAGTTTGAAAAATATATAGGTACAATCCGTTTTGCTTGTTTAGACACGCTAGATTAAAAATATGGGATAGCATTGGAGACAATAATTAATCGATTAACGTCAGGAATTGACCAAAAACGGCCGTCTTTGGCTAATCGCAAGGGTATTGTTTTTCACCAGATGTGCACACCCACCAAAACATAGCAAGGCGTCGGGTAGCATTCGGTAGCGTCGCATGGCATTGCATTGGGTGTGTTCCCTGCTTAACACTCGCCCCACGCATCTTTGCAGACGCTCCAGAAATGGTTTGAGCTCTGTTGGGTGTTGGGATATGCTACCTAGGACTGCAGAAAACACATCGAGGAGTTCATTGCTCAAAAGCATGAAAAGTTATCGGAGTACAGAATTTCAAAATGACATGTAAGATGTCAATAAGTTGTGGAACGAAATGGTTCATATTTTCTGGATTAAATTGATAAAAAGTGCTTGTAATTTTCTTTAGATTTAATATTAAAAACAAAACAAAAAAACATACGGACTTATTTTACGACCCGAGAGATGATAGCATGGCCTAAAATAAGAGATTTCATTGCTTAACTATAATTGTATCAAACAATTTTTTGTTTCATAAATCAAATTTAGTGCTTTTGTTATTTCTGTAATTAATGGGAATAAATAATTATAATTATGTAGGTATAGTATTATTGCAAAAAAGGGTGTTCCAATCAGATTTGTTTTGACTTTGTAAAATACAGAAAAGTTAAATTTAAAAATAACAGATAAAAAATAATTGATTAATTAAAACAAAATTGTCATAATAACCAATGTCAGGAAAGGAATGATTTCATTTTTTAAATATAAATAAAAAATAAAATAAAATGATTTTTTAAAATAATAAATAATTAATTAATTAAATAAACATGTGTGATCAAATGAACCAATCAGATCGAATTTTGGGTGGTTGAAACCCTTAAGTCGAATTTGATTGGTCGATGAACGTTCAGAATAGCCAATGTCAGTAAAGAAAGAAATTTATTTCTTCAATATTAATATAAAAAAAAGAAATAAAAAAAGATGTCGATTTTTTAAATAATAGATAATTAAAATAATTAATCAATTAAAATAAATATGTGTGATCAAATGAACCAATCAGATCGAACTTCGCATGGTTGAAATCCTTAAGACGAATTTGATTGGTTGATGAACGTTCATAATAGCCAATATCAGTAAAGAAAGAAATTTATTTCTTCAATATAAATAGAAAACCCGAAATAAAAAAAATATGTCGATTTTTTAAATAATAGATACTTAAAATAAATAATCAACTAAAATAAACATGTGTGATCAAATGAACCAATCAGATGGAATTTCGGGTGATTGAAACCCTTAAGACGAATTTGATTGGTTGATGAACGTTCATAATAGCCAATGTCAGTAAATAAATTTATTTCTTCAATATAAATAGAAAAAACGAAATAAAAAATGTCGATTTTTTAAATAATAGATAATTAAAATAATTAATCAATTAAAATAACCATGTGTGATCAAATGAACCAATCAGATCGTACTTCGGGTGATTCAAACCCTTAAGTCAAATTTGATTGGCTAAGCAGATAAGCCAGTGGCAGAAATGAATCGGATTTTATTATTGATAACTATTTTTTAAATTTGTTAAACCATAAATTTAAATAATTAAAATTTAGTGGTTAAGTTTGAATAATGCGCGTAAATGACGTTACGTTTGAACGACGGTAGGGCGACGAGACGGCGAGGTTATTGGAGGTGGAGTAAACTGTAGTCTTGTGTTGTTTCTTATCAACCTGTGTTTCTCTTCGATTTTAGTGACATTTTTTGGATTGTCCGTCTTCAAAGATGAACTGCGATGATTGTGACGATCTCGTCACCGTCCCGGCGGAGATCATCAATTTCCCGACGGAGGTGCAGAACGCCATCGACCAAGTCATACCGAGCCACGACCCCCTCGACCAGGCCGAATTCAACCCAGTCGACTACATCAACTCGCTTTTTCCGACTGAACAGTCTCTCTCTAACTTGGACGGTGAGCTCGTCAAAATGGAATCGAAAATCAAAGAGATCGACGACGAGATTAGGTCCGTCGTCCGGGGCCAAAGCAACGTGAGCATGGACGGAAGGGCGGCCCTGGAAGAGGCCCAGAAGGTCATCAAGCAGCTCTTCATCCAGATCACTGAGATCAAATGCAAAGCCGAACAGTCTGAAGAGACGGCGAGGGAGATTACGAGAGACATAAAACAACTGGACTGCGCCAAGAAAAACCTGACAGCCGCGATTAACATGCTGTCGCATCTCAACATCCTAGTTAATGGTGTTGACTCGCTGAAAAAACTGGCTAAGCAGAGACAGTACGGCGAGATAGTAATGCCGCTGCAAGGTATAACTGTAGTCATGGACCATTTTGCATGCTACACAGACATACCGAAGATATCTGAACTGTCAGAGCAGGTGCGGCAGATACAAGTGTCTCTTGCGAAACAAATCACAGAGGACTTTCACGAAGCATTCTCGTCAAAGAATTTCACTGCAAGCCCGCAGCTGGCCGAGGCGTGTTCTATTGTGTCAATACTAGACCCGAAAGTCAAGAAGGATCTATTGAAATGGTTTGTTACGATACAGTTGAACGAGTACACTGTCCTTTTCCAAGAGAGCGAGGATACGGCCTGGCTCGACAAGATCGACAGAAGGTACGCCTGGTTTAAAAAACACCTACTACAGTGTGAAGACAAGTTCGGAACGATGTTCCCACAGAACTGGGAAGTATCGGAGCGCATAACCGTCGAGTTCTGTCATATTACAAAATCTGAACTCACAAAAATCATGGCAAAGAGGAAAAATGAGATCGATGTTAAAATATTGCTCTTTGCAATACAGAAAACCGTCGGGTTTGAAAATCTCCTGGCTAAAAGATTCACAGGTGTTACACTAGACGAGGTCGAACCGAAAAAAACAGAAAACGGAGATAACACGTCAAAATTCACTGGTATTATAAGTGAATGCTTTCAACCGTACTACAATGTGTATATAGAAAGTCTCGACCGTAATTTGTTCGAGTTGATGGAGAGGGCGGTGTCAGATGCGAAAGCTGACTTTGGAAAAGAAGGCATACCAGGAGATTCGATCGGCGTGCTCAACTCCTGTGGTGACATGTTTCTCTTTTTCAAGAAATGCTTATTGCAATGCGCTCAGCTCAGCACGGGCAAGGCGATGCTCGACCTCTCACTGACATTCCAGAAATACTTGAAAGAATACGCTTCCAAGGTGCTGCAAAACAACCTGCCAAAGGTTGGTGTGACTTCTTCAATCACGAATTTAAAAAGAGACCTTCGCGACTTGTCAACTGGCCTGATACAAAACTTCTTGAAAGAAGGGGATGCCGTGAGGTTCAACAAACAAGAATTGGCACGGATCTGCTCTATACTGACAACCGCCGAATATTGCCTTGAAACCACGCTGACACTTGAGAAGACCTTAAAAGACAAAATTGACCCTTTGCTCTCAAACAAGATAAATTTATCAGAAGTGCAAGATGTATTTGATAATGTAATAACAAATTGTATACAGCTTCTTGTGCAGGATTTGGAACTCGCTTGCGAACCTGCTCTCACGGTGATGGCCAAGACACAATGGCAGAGTATAGAATCCGTTGGTGATCAGAATTCCTACGTCACAGCGATAACGACTCATTTAAAATCCACTGTTCCATTAATTCGAGACAATCTATCCTCTTCAAGGAAGTACTTTACAAAGTTCTGCATTAAGTTTGTAAGCTCTTTTATACCGAAGTTCATCCAGAGTATATATAAATGCAAGCCGTTGAGTACGGCTGGTGCAGAACAGCTTCTTCTGGACACACACACCCTCAAGACAATTCTCCTTGGCTTGCCTCTCATTGGGTCGAAGGTGAACCGCGAGCCTCCACCAAGCTTCACAAAGGTCGTAATAAAGGGGATGACAAGAGCGGAGATGATTCTCAAGGTCGTTATGAGTCAGACGGAGCCGGATGAGTCGTTCGTCGATCAATTCTTGAAGCTGCTGCCTGAGTCGGACATACATGAGTTTCAAAAGCTGCTTGAGATGAAGGGCCTTCGACCGCCGGACAAGAACCACTTGCTGACACTTTTTCGCAAAAGGCAGCCAAACCTCTCCCAAGCGGTTCTCAACAGCCCTAAGCATGAAATCAGCAACATCCGCAAACTCAACAATCTAATCAAGAAAAATTTCTAAAAGGCTGATCACATAGAAAAAATTAAAATCGTCATGTTTTATATATATATATATATTAATTTTTATTAATTTATTAAAGTTTATATTTATTATTCTGTTGTCTGTTGATCATCCATGAAATCCTAAAAAATAGTTTCTTAACCGAAGACCATCAAGTCTTAAAACCCATTGCAATTTAGGGTCCGGAATATTCAAAAGTGCAGACAATCAAAGAAGACCACGTGGTACCATGCATACGACCATATTACAATAAGCCCCTGCTCATCCACCAGGGTCACATGCAGTGGCTGTTCGACCATGAGGGAAAACGATACCTTGACATGTTTGGCGGAATCGTCACTGTTAGCGTTGGCCATTGCCATCCGTAAGTCCTCCATCCCACATATTTGTCACATATCGCTAAATTTCTTTTTTGTAGAAAAGTCTCTGAAGCAGCAAAGCGTCAAATGGACACCTTATGGCATACAACTAACATATACCTACACCCTAAGATGTACGAGTATGCTGAAAAACTGACCAAGAAGCTGCCTGGAGATTTAAAGGTTTATTTAAAAAATTCCCTAAGAAAAACAAACCTAAAAAATATATTTTTTATTATATTAGGTGGTGTATTTTGTGAATAGCGGTTCTGAGGCGAACGACCTTGCGATGCTCCTTGCTCGCGTCTACACAGGAAACTACGACATAATATCATTCAGGAACTCATACCACGGTATGAGCCCATATGCAATGGGTCTGACAGGATTGTCGGCGATGAAGTACGCTATGCCTTCTCACATGGGCGTACACCATGCCATGAACCCAGACCCATACAAAGGGCTTTGGGGCGGTTCGGCATGCAGGGATAGCCCGGTACAGGCAGACAGGAAATGCGATTGCGATGAGGGCAAGTGCAACGCTGGCGACATGTACTACGAGCAGCTTCAAGAAGTGTTCAAGTACTCATTGCCAAGGGAGAGGATGGCTGCGCTTTTTGCCGAATCCATTCAAGTAACTATCAAACCACTTTTAACAAACTAGAAATTTTTATATTATAAAAAAGTACATTTTTATATTCAGACAATTATAAAGATTAACTTTTGTCCCCCACATCCTTTCCCTCCAAAAATTACGCATATGCAGCATCTTACTTTTCCTCAGACTAATATGCAAGATTATAAGCCGGTAAAAAAATAACATTCAAGCATAAAACAATGTAAACCAGGACAAGCTTTTATATTTATCATAATCCATTATGTTTAGTGGTCTAATTGACCAAATTACTTCTGTCAATTAATTATTCTTTGTATGTAAGGTCTTAGTTGAAATGAAAAAAATTAGTGTCATGAGTGGGATTTGAACCCCTGACCTTCGGCTCAATACACTGCTGCTCTAATCACTTGATCAACTATGTGATCAAATATGTGGTATTTAGTGACCGTTAGTGATGTGGTCCAGACTGCATATCACGATCTCCAAATAATTATGTGATCAAATTAATGATAGCTCAAATGGTTAGAGCAGCGGCATATTGAGCTGAAGGTTGTGGGTTCGAATCTCGCTCATGACACTAACTTTTTCATCTCAACCAAGACCTTACGTAAAAAGAATAGTTTATTTTAATTAATTAATTGTAAGATATTAATTGGTCAAGCGGACCACGAAACTAGTGAAGTTTATTTGAATGTTTAACCAGAAAAGCAAACCGCATAAATTAAAAAAATCTGTATATTTGAGAAAAATAAAGCTAGGTTTATTTAAATTTGGTTTAAATATTTCAGGGTGTTGGAGGCTGTGTTCAATTCCCAAAAGGATTCCTGAAGAAAGCTTTCGAGCTAGTACACAGCAACGGAGGTTTATTTGTAGCAGATGAGGTCAGTACAGTAAAAATAATGTATTTTAGTAGTCAATTTAAATTTTTTTGATATTGTATTTAGGTGCAAACTGGTTTTGGTAGGACCGGAGATCATTACTGGGGGTTTGAGTCACACGGCATCATTCCTGACATCGTCACAATGGCCAAAGGAATTGGAAATGGCTTTCCCCTCGCTGCAGTCATCACATCAGCAAAAATCTCTACAGCGTTGGGACACGCTTTGCATTTCAACACTTTTGGCGGTAATCCAATTGCTTGTGCTGTCGGACTGGCCACCCTGGATGTAATTATCTTTATACATTATTTCAAAAAATGTGTATTTTTATTATTTCGTTTGTCGTTTCAAGGTGATAGACGAGGAGAAGATGCAGAAGAATTCGAAAGTCGTCGGTACGTACTTGTTACACGAGTTGGCCAAGTTGAAAGAGGAATACCCAGTCATCGGCGATGTTCGAGGGAAAGGCCTGATGATTGGCGTCGAATTTGTCAAAGACAAGAAATCGCGTGAGTCACTTTCGGCCAAAAGTCTCGCAGACATCTGGGAGACTTGCAAAGATCTTGGCGTACTCATTGGGAAAGGCGGGCTAAATGGAAATGTAATTTGTGATTTTCTATTAAATAATTATCATTTCATTAATTTTTTTTTTTTAAGGTCTTCAGAATAAAACCGCCGATGTGTGTGACAAAGGACGATGCAGATTTCACTGTCGAGGTGTTGAGACGTGCACTTTTCAAACACACAGCGAAATGCAACGGTCATTGTTAAATGATTAAATTATTAACAAAAACTACATTTTAAAAAATCCGTAAGACTGAAATTAGTACAGATGAAAGTTTTATCATTTTTAAACAATAAGACAGCGTCATTGTGTCAAAAGTATTTTAACTTCTCATTGTATTGTGTCAATTTCAAACGTTTTGTGATTGTTAATATTATTTTTTTATATTAAAACATTTAACAGCTTGTTTGTATGTACATATATTTTTAATAAAGAGATGCTTTATTTTTTTCTACTTCTGTCTAATTTTTGTTTATTTGTTTTGTCAATATATTTTGTATTGTGAGATATCTCTCTGTAATCTGCGGGTGATGAACTTGTAATTTGGCCGTTAATGACCACATTATCTGCATTTCTTGCAGGGTTGGTCTTTCAGATGTGATTTAACATTTCGCCATCTTCAGTGTACCTGGCAAAATGACTAAACATGTCTGACAGACAAACCCAGCAAATTGTACTTAACTTCAAAAATTAACCGTATATGAAGAAGAAAAAATTTTTTTCTCAAGTCGTTCATTAATGTATAAGTTGAAGGGCGTCGGTGGAGGCAACAGTTTAGGCGTTGAGATGGCGCTCATCACTGTAAGGTAAAGGCCCCAGGTTCGAATCCAACGGACCTGCATTCGAACTTGATATACTTACACATGGGCTTTTTTAAAAAAACACCAGCACCACGAGTGTTTATATGAGCTCTGCTGTTGCAAATACTTGTAAAAGAAAAAAAATGTAAAGGCTATTAACAGGTTCAGCCAACTTGGTGAAAAGACAGGTCAGCCAGACTGCTTTACGCCAATCGGTGCACTCACTCCCTTACTTTTTTCAGCATTATGATGGGGGTATTGTTAAATTCTCTTTTACTTTGGGGTTTAGGTAGATTGGAGAGTAGCTTGTTATCAAAGCTACTGCTCTTTTTTCCAGAGTGGTTTTTAGCTCGCTCAGTAAAGTAAGCCAACTCTGATCGCCCTAAGGTGTGAAGAGCTTAAGGAGTGCCACGGGGCAGTGTAATTGGACCCTCCACCATCCTTGCTTACTTAGCTGACAACTCATCGGGAAACTGATCCTCTTCCTACAAATGCTTCGAAGTTGCTCCAGGCACATTACGAATAACTGAATGGAGTAATGTAAACGAAATCAAACGCCAAAATGTTACTTTACCTTCTGAAACAAAACAAACCATACATTATTTCTCAGTAAATCTATCATTAAAACTGACTATATTACCTTAAAACTCTCGGCTCATGTCTAATCTGGATCCAACACGCACGAATAAAACAACACAAATTAAACAATTTCGGCTAATATTCAAATTATTAACAAAAAATCACACGTTTCATGGAAATAAAACGAACACTTTACAAGGCTAGTGAAACCGATTGGGAAATATGGAGTAGAACTGATGGGCGCCAAAGTCCTCAAAACCAGTGCTACCATGATCAACGCTACCTACTACGTCTTCACATACACTTCAAAATGACATCTAAAAACCCTTTGCTAAAAAACGTAATCATCAACAAATTTCCACTTTCCAAAAAAAAAAAAAATCCTCACAAAATTTTCCTTAGCTTCCATCTTATTTTCCATTAGTCCGATTTATAGCCATAACCGCTACAACCCAGTCTGGCGATGAAAAAACTGGAAGAACAATAGTATCAGTTTGCTGGCTCCACCTAAGGATATAATGATGTAAAAAAAAAAATTAAATACAATTAAAATTACAAATAAAAATTGTAAAAAATATATTTCAGAGCAGAATATATTTTTAATTTGTACAAATGGTAATTGTTCGCACAGTTTACGATTTTTTTTTTAGGTGAAGTTTGCCGCCCTTAAAATCTTATTTGCTCCCCCCTCAACCCCACTCCATTTTTTCTTGCCTTTTGTTCTACACAGTACACGGTTAACGGTTTTTAATACCATTTTTTCTTCCGTTTGTGAAACGTTATTCGATTTTGCTTCCAATATTTTGTTTTGTTTCAAAATTGCTTCCGTCCCTTAACTACTTAGTTTTCCTTGCTTCCAATTTCTATCACGTTATTTGCATCGTTTTACTTCCGCGAATAGTTCGCCAAAGGTTAACGTGAGTGCCGAGTCAAGATCGCCGTTCGTCTCCTTAACACGTCGGATTCAGCCGAAGCCCTCAAGGTAGGCCAGTTTTGATTAAATTTACGTATATTACATAGATATTACATATTGGTTGTTGGCTTCTAACTGTTATTAAACAAATAAATAAATCATTTGGCCAAAGCGTGTAATGCATTTTATCCAGTCCGTGTCGGTCGCCTGGGACGTTCAAGGCGGGAGATAGTGTGACTCGGTGGAAATACTGCCATTTTTCTTTTAGATATTTCAATTACACTGCTCAAAAATGAATAGGGATGCCAATTTTGTAATATTTATTTTCCATAGCATTTTTATTTTATTTTTATTATAAGTTGTATTACGAACAGCCCGCGCAACGAGGAGAGCGCACCGGCCGGCAAACCGCCGATCGAGAGAGGGGATTTACGAGCGACGACTGATGAGAGGTCCGATCTAGCCTGGAAGCAAGACCCGCGGAAAATCAAGACTGGCTGCAGACGTCGAGAAGTGGACACCTCTCATCCAACATTCACTTTTTATTTTTTTTTAATTTTTTAACACCCTTTGGTCACCACAACCGCCTGCAACCACTTTGCTACCACTTTTATTCCTATGGCAAACGCCAACGTTCTTTAACCAAAGAAAGGAAAAATAATGATCACACTTAAATGCTCACCTTTACAATAAATGTATTTACAAACAAACAATCAAACAAAGAAAACCTTTCCCAAAGGGTGTTAAAAAAATTAAAAGAACAAATCTGCTAAATATGAGTCCAAATTTTGGTCGAGCCTTTCCCAGGAAAGGCCCCTTGCCAGTGCGAGTGAATGTGGGTTGAGAGATGTCCACTTCTCGTTTTTTTTCTTTTTTTTTTCTTCAGAATGGAGGAAATTATTTGATTTAATGCAGGTGTTGCTGCCAATGCTATATCTGACGTCTCCTCGTCGCTCGTAGATCCCCTCTCTCGCTTGGGCAGTTTGCCTGCCGGCCGGTGCGCTCTCCTCGTTGCGCCGGTTGTTCGCAATAAAAACATAATAATTGCTCAGAAATTATTGTTTTTTACTGAAGAAAAATTTAATTAAGGTATTTTAACAAATAAGAAAATAAAAGATTTCAATTCCATAATTTTGTTTATTGGGCATATTTCTTTTAAAACAATTAATACCGTGTGTTAGTGTGCACCAGTTCGGAAAATCACTAGGGTGTATAACAAGTAAAGCAGTGGACTTAACATGCTACCTAGTGGCAGTCCTGATTTTATTGTTTTTAATTCTGAATTATCTTCTTGACTCTAGAATGTCTGTCGGTCAGGTAGGAACTGACAATATTTACGTGCTGCTTTGGTAGCATCCCTTTTAGTGTATTAATTATTTCGTTCATGCCAGAACTTGTCTGAAGCTTGTGAGACATCAAGGATGAAAGAATAATAAATTTGTTTTTATTCAAGAGATTTTTCTATTTAGGTCGGTTACTCGGTGAATTTGGATTATTGTTGATTGTCTTGTTCGGAATCCAAATTGTTGGTCATGATTTTCTGTTTTTCTAAAATGGGTTTTATCCTTTTTAGAAATCTTTTCGAAAATCTTAGAGGCTGTCGGTACTAGCGTCTTGGTCTCTATGATTTGACTTAGTTCGCCGGTTTTCCTTTTTTTTATCATGATGACTTATGCAAATTTCCAGTTGTTGGAAACACAATTCAGTCTCATTGCTAAAAATTTATTGTAAAGGAAGGGAGTGGGCCATTTCTGGGCATCTGTTTCAAAAACTCGTTATTAAGGCCATCAGGTCCCGGGGCCTTCCCGTTCTTGCATTTCAGGAATGCTTCATCCAATTACTTTAATATTTAAATTAATATTTTAAATTACTTAAAGTGAAAAAGGCATGTAGAAGAAAGGGTGTTCCGCGTCCATTATGGACAGTTGGGATGGTAAGGGTTGTATGGATATATGTGAGTTCAACTACAGTTTTTTCCTTTCCTTCATCTATTTCTTCATCTTTGAAATAAAGTAATTAAAAAAACAATTACACCACTGAAAAGGATAATAAATGGAGTACGTTTTCTGAAATTTGCTGGTCTCTAGGTTTGGAAATAGTTTAGAATCACCATAGTAAGTTTCTCAACTTTGAAAAACAATTTTTTTTCAAAGTTCTGGTTACTAAAACGCTTATTTCACCAACTTTTACAAGTTTAGTATTGATCACATCTTATTGGAAATTTAACGTAGTTTTCAATGACAATTAATTAAGGTTTTAGTTGAGATGAAAAAAAGTCTATGGCACGAGAGGAATTCGAACCCACGACCTTCGGCTAGATACGCCGCTGCTCTACCACCTGAGCTATCATGACCTCGATCCACTGGAAAGTGTACCTCATTTTTAAATCATTAATTCACTACTTTCGTTACTTAAAAATGAAGTACACTTCACTAAAGCTCTCCGTCGCCATTTCAATTGTCGTCGAGAATCCAAACCGATTACACATTTGAAAAATGGCAAAAGGAGGGAAAATTCATAAGGTGGGGTTGAGATGGGGAGTTGATGTTCGAGTGGATCGAGGTCACGATAGCTCAGGTGGTAGAACAGCGGCGTATCTAGCCGAAGGTCGTGGGTTCGAATCCCTCTCGTGCCATAGACTTTTTTCATCTCAACTAAAAACCTTAATTAATTGTCATGTATTAATTGGTCAAGCGGACCACGAAAGTAGTGAATTAGTAGTTTTCAACGGTACCAATTGATTTGTCCAAAACCTTTTAATTTTGGAGTTATCATTTTTTATTTGAAACAAGGTGAAATCTTAAAACATCAGAAAAAAGGGGAATAACTCTGAAACTGTTGAGATTCGAACCATAGATAATTAGGACTTTTTGGTTCCATTTTGAATGCAGAATCTACTGGCAAAGTTTGTAACACGAGTAGCCGAACACCCTGAAAATTCCAGCACTTAACTGACTAAATTTTCCCACTTGCTACCATTCAAATAATTAATAAATTCTTCCCACTCCAATTTTTCTTTTTTGAAACATAATTTATTTTATATATTTTAAAATTGGGCATATTGCTGTGAAATCGTGTTTTGAATAGCTCCCATTATTGCACAGGGCATACACTTCTGCCGATCCTGGGGTCTACCCACTGAGTAATTTAGTTTCAATAATTCACCCCTAATGTTAAATATTGTAGCCATAAAATACCTCCTATTTTTATTATCCGTAAATTTATGTCCGCCAAGTTGAACATTTAAAATTTTATATACAACATTTGGCTGTACGTCTAGCATTATATAAATTTGCCATAAAACATAGTTAAAGTTTTTCTAGTGTTCATTTACATAATTACTATCTTTTTCATAGATACGGTTCACGCTGAAATTAAACTTGCACCATAGCTCATATATTTCCTTGACCCAGCCGATTTTAATAGTTAAAATACAATCTGCTAAATATTTTTTAAGAGGGCATGGTTTCTGTATCAATACTTTCTTTATATAACTAATGGTCAGTTTCCAAATAAACAAAGTAACAGCTCTGCTCACAGAATCAAACGGCTTATGTTTTATATTTAGAGGAACACAATAATTTGTTATGAGAGAATTCCAGGTGGAACCTATGCCTTGTTTACATGCAGTTTACTTTTCATTGAAATGAAATTATATTTTTTAATATTTCTTTTTTACCATAAAACCATCCACTGCTGGTCGCCTTCCCCCCACCTCTTTAAACTCTATTATTTTTGTCAAGTTAACAGTTAGGTTCTATAATCGTGTAGATTATTATTCATGTTTTGTACTGTACGCGGCTAAGCACTCAGCTCCAATATATTATATCAATCCAATATCCAATATATCAACCTCGATTCTTTGATAGATTGTATTGGGCTGGTGCAAAAATAATGCAGATTTTGAAAAGGCTGGCAAAACTATTTTCAATTTAATCTTTATGTCGACTCACAATAAAGTCTTGGGTTTTCGGTTTCACCGTGTTCTCTAAAAATTTTATCCCTCAAGAATTGATCAAAATGCCTAAAAAGTGGAAGTCTGCAGGCGAAAGGTCGGGTGAGTATGGAGGGTGCGGGAAGTTTTCATATCCAAGTCCAAGTCTTATTGCGACATGTGTCCTGGCGTTAACGTGAAGAAGAATCGCCCCCTTGCGGTTTACCAATGGACAAAGACTTTGTACTTTCCCACGCATTTTGACAATCTTTCTCTGTTGTGATAGTTTCACCATAATTCAGGAAATTATAGCGATAACCCTAGCAGTACACCATCCAAATCCATTATTTTGGATGCAGATAGTTTCGGTGAGTGTTATGGCGCTTCATCCTTGTCCAACCACCTCTTGTTATCTCACTGAGTCCATTTCCAGAAATGGATGATTTTGATGGTGCAAATTGCAAAACGTCGATTTCTTTGGGCTTCGGATAGTTCGTGCGGTACCCACTTTCCGAGCTGCTTTACTTTATCAGTTTGCTCCAGAGCTCATCCGAATTTTCTCGTGTTATTTTACGTGAATTTTCTTCAGTCAACAGACCGAAATCTCCAAGACAAAATCTCTGAAACCATTGCTGTACCGTGCATTCGCTAATGCTTCCCTCCCCCAAACTGTATTGGGTTACCGGCGGTTTTGTATAAAAGATAACATTTAAAAGAATTTATTATAATCCATAAATTAGATTTAAGAATTTAGCTTTGTTTACATGGCAATCACCTCGAAAATAAAATAAATTTTCAAAACGTGCATTAATTTTGCACCAACGTGATATATAAGGTCTATCTGAGGTGTGGCTTGAACACTGTGGTCCGGTAATAAGGCTATTGCAGGGATAAAAGAGGCGGCCACAAGGCCTACTGCACCTTGACCTGAATAGATTGTGCTCCCCTGTTTTTTATAACTCACTGGCCAGCTTCAGGTTGTCAATCAGCCTTCATAGCTTTGCCAGCGGCTCCTTAGTGTAGAATCTTGCTTGCGGTTTTTCTTGTCCTGGTTGCAAGAACCTCCACCTACATAGACCTTAACACACAGAATGTGTTCTGCAGTCTCCTCCTCTTCCTGGCAGCATCTGCACATCTGGCTGAACTCTTATCCGGTGCACGTGCTTTCTTAAGTGGCAAGGAGACCAACCAGAATCCTGGTTCGGAAGACTGTTGTGTTCACCTTTTTAATATACAAACAGTTTAAAATTCAAAACAATGGTAGGGAAAAATAAGCGTAGGCACGTTTTATTGTTTTATTAAGAAATTATCGACTAATAATTCACCGCAGCAAACGCTAATATTTACATAGGTTAATAATCTAGAATTTCAATGACAAGAAATACACAATCGACGATACGGTGTTATATACATATCAATTATTGTAATGAGGCCGTCTGTTAGGCTGTTTATTCGCACCGGCCTTCATTGAGGGAGCACCATTCGGGCATGATTTGATCCGCATTGATACCGAGTTTGAAAAGTCTGCCGACCTGGGCGATCAGCCTGTACTTGGCGTCCATCGATTTGATCGGAGGTGACGACCAGAGACGTTCTGCTAGGGCGGCAGCCCTCGGCCACACCTTCATGTCAAAGTTGTACGTGGATGCCAGCTCGCCCCACATGCACGCTTCGCCTCCAAGCACTTAAAAAGAATGTTAAAAAAATAAAAATAAAATAAAGTACAAAAAAAGCAAAATACCTGAATAGTCCAACGGTATCTGGTAATCGTAGACTTTGGCCCAGTTGTGGTAAGTCGTCTGTCCCCAGAAGCCGTGGTCCAAGTACCAAACATCCCTTGTGGCGTAAATCACCGAGTACCCCTTCGAGATCAGATCTTCTGGAAGAGGGTCGTTGGCATCGGCCCACGTTTCAATTATGTACCTGGTAACAATTGATATCAAACATCTCTTTCTGTTTTATTCACTATTCTAAAGCCTTTGACTGTGTGGGTCTCATAAATTTTTGCAAGTTCTTGGTGGTGAGTGGAGACAAAGTCATCTTGCCTGCTTCTTAAGGAATCTTTATAACGACCAAGTAGCAACAGTACAAACAGAGCAAGGAACCGCAGACTGGTTTAAAATTGGGAAAGGAGTACAGCTTAATACACACATTAACCCTATTTATTCAACCTGTACGCAGAGCACATGCTGGGTTTGAGAAATACAAGGCTAGAGGTAAAATTGCTGGAAAAACATTAACAAACTCAGATATGCAGATGATACCACTTTGGCATGTGGCAAAAAACGAGAAGAATTGAAAGTGAGAGAAGAAAGTGCAAAAGCAGGATTGCAGTTAACCCTAAAAAAACAGTGCTTATGTTAACCAGCTTGATTGATAACTTGTAAATAGAAGGAGAACAAGAGGAGACAGTGACAGTCTGTACTTTTAAGCGCAAGTTTACTGCAGACGCTGATTGCAGCCAGGAAATCATAAGACGTGTACTTCTTGGGAGGAGAGCAGCATATCTTGATAAAATAGTTAAGAGCAGAGTCGTCACACTGACAACAAAATCCCGCATAGTTAAAACAATGGTGTTTCATTAGTTGCCTATGACTGCGAGAGTTAGTCCGTAAGGAAGCTGAGCGAAAGAGGATAGATGCTATCTAATGGTGGTGTTGGAGAAAAATACTGAGTGTGCCTAGTACTGCGAGAAGAACAAACCATACTCCAGGAATTGAAGTCAGACTGCTCACTTGAGGGAATGAAATTAAAGGGAAAATTGAAGTACTTTGGCTACCTAATGAGAAGACATGATACCCTAGATGAAGTCACTATTACTCAAATCTCACATGGGTTAATTGTGAATACCAGAGTGAAATTTCGTTGAGGAAAAGACGAACCTTTTCGGGTCTAAATAGTCCGTAATCCTTTCGGGTGATGTAAGCTGGCTTGACCAAAGAACCGGCCTCGTGTGTGAATGTCCGACAGCGCGGTCCCAAGCGTTGAGCGCCTTTCCGTGGAACTCGGCCCAAAGTGTCATATAGCCGTCTTCCGTCCTCGGGATCCGGTGTTCGTCCATGTACTTTAACACCTCGTCGCTTGCCATCCAGCAGGGGAGGTGAACCTCGTCGCCGCCCATGTGGAACATCTCCTGCTGGAACATTGTCGAGATCTCCTTGTACATCTGGCCAAGTACTCTGTATAGGTTCGGGTTCGCCGGATTCATCTGGCCGCACGGCGGCTGTACGCAGTAACGACGCCAAGGCTCTTTGTTGACGCAGAGGGACAGTTTACCGAGGCCGTTCTTCTCTCCGAACTGCCATCCGTTGCCGGCATGTCCCGGCGAATCGATTTCAAGAAGGACTCGTACTCCTCGCAGCTTCCCGTACTCGATAACATGCTTCATATCTTTCGTCGTGTACACCTCCTTCGAAGAATAAGCCCCCAATCTTGAAAAACATTAAATAAAAACGATTACTTTCATGCGATTAAATGACACTAGATGGTGTCTTACTCTGCTAGTTGAGGCAGAGTGTCGAAGGCGAGAGGGAAACTGTGAGTGTCTGTAGCGTGCCAATGAAGGACGTTCAACTTGACAGAAGACATACCTGGAAATAAAATCATTGTGATGGAATTCAAATCAATTGTAAGTAAAGTTATACCGTCTATGGTCCTTTCTATATCTGCGAGGGGAAGGAACGTCCTGGAGGTGTCGATGAGGAGACCTCTGTGCCTGAAGACAGGCCTGTCTTTGATATCGGCCTTCGTGAGCATGAGAATGACGCACCTTTTGTTTTTGTACTGGGTCGCCGTAAGCTGCAGGAGAGTCTCCAAGGCGTGCCTCGTGCCGAAGACGGTCGTCGCGTTGATCTCAACCTCGATGTTCTTCCCTGCGATCGAATTTCGTTATAGATAAAAACCGGTTTGACGTAAAATAAACGTACCATAGTTCTTTATAGAGAGCTTGTAGGACTCGTCTGTGAGCAGCTTGAGTTCCGTCGAAGGCGATATGACGCGCATGTGTATGTGCACGCTCGTCAATGCGCGAGTCGTCGTGTTGGCGCACTGACTGTACAGACGGGCGAAGAATATGTCGCTGATTTTCCGGATGTACTCCCGAGTCTGGACTGGGGCCGATTCGAGCACCACTTGAATCTTGGATGGGTCAACCTCCATTACCATGTGCCTGCGGAAAATTACAAACACGGTTTAAAAAAAAAAGAAAAAAAACAAACCAAGGGGCGACCAGGTAAGTTGAAAGGATTTTGACCAAACCTTTTTTTGATGATTCTACACTCCAAAATATCTGTATCCGCAATTCCTTGTAAATGGGCCCTGCTTTCGCAATTTTCCTGTTTCTTTTTTTAATATTTTTATTCCGCCGTTCTACTTGCTCAAATCAACTATATGAGCATTTACAGCATTTTTTATGTAGAATGCAGTAAAAATATAACAGCTATCAAAGTTTATCAAAAACCAAAAAAATTGTAAAAATTAAATATTTTTCAATCAATAGGTCATGAAATTTTTTTTCGCTAGACTAATATGAAATTTCGTTTTAGCACCGCTAGAGTCTCCTAAATATACATTTTTGGTTATTTTAAATATACTGCATTTTGACCCAAAAAAACTTTTATGATTTTTAAGACGTCGTTATCGGAATATCTGATTGAAAATGCTACATTCAAAAACGGCTAAAAGAATTTTATCACCAAACGTACCTTTGGAAAGAAGAGGAACGTAGCTTTTTAATGTTATATGTACCATAAAAATATATATAAAATATTTCTACAAGAAAATACTTTTTTTAAAATGGAAATAATGGTGGGATTTTAATGTTTGATATAGCTATAAAATGCACTTGACTAAATTTATTTAAATCGAACTATCGATCAATCATTAAAAAAAACTCTCAATCCACTAGCTTTTGAGAAAAATGATGTCAGAGCTTGCACTAGGAATGTCAGTCGGGCTGCCTGAAGAAGGTCTTTGAAATTTGAAATGAAGTCAAATATTAATTTACATAATTTCCGCGAAAATCGGTATCTAAGGGTTTCATAACGCTATAATCAGGACAATGAGGTCTTTTTTTCTTTACGACTTTCTTGCCAGAGAAGAAAATTCAGGGAAGTAACCACTAATTTTCATTGATTTTTTTAAATTTATATATCATCTCCTAATCTATTCCTAACATTTTTTAACTATAGTTGGCATGATTAGTTATTTCTTTACCTTTAATTTTTTGACATAGCTTAATTTAATTTTTTTAATTTTAAATATAACATTTTACATTTTGTTAATTTGCTTTGTACCGATATTTATTATATTATAATGGCACTCTCGTCACGACACTCAAGAATGACACAATTACACAGAAGACAAACACTTTGAGCCCTGAAGATGATCTCAATAAAGATCGAAACGTTGGCACGATAAAGAAAATGTTTTTCTGAAACTTACATCACACCAGACCGCATCTCAGGATTTCTAAATAAATATCGATTAACGGTCACTAATCACCACACATTATAATGGACGTTGATTAGCAAAACTCTACAACACATTATCAACAAAATTCAATTCTGGTTGAATGAATTTATTTATTTATATTGTTTACATTAAAATATTAATGAAAACTATGTGACTAAGTAAATTTAATTAATTCATTTTAATATATCATTTTACATCATTTTTTAATTAGGTTGCAATAATATTACAGTAAAAGCCATCAAAGTTTATCGATAACCAAAAAATTCTAAAAATCAAATATTTTTAAAGTAAACTAGGTCATAAATTTTTTTGGTGAAATTAATATGAAATTTCGTTTTAGCACCTCCAGAGCCTCATAAATATGAATTTAAATTATGGATTTTTTGACCTCTAAAAATTTTTCCAATTTTTGAATTTAAATAGTCGTTATCGGAATATCAGATTGAATCGGCTATAATTCACAAACGGCTAAAAGAATTTTAACGTCGAACATACCTTTTGAAAGAAGAGGAATGTAGCTTTTTAATGACATACGTTCCATAAAAATATATAAAATATTTCTACAAGAAAATACAGAAAATGGGAAAATATTAATCTTCTTTTTTTTAAATTGTAATAATAGCCCTACTTTAATGTTTGATACAGTTATAAAATGCACTTGACAATTTCTTTCTAATAATCAACATGAAAATCGGTCGTCGAAATTATGAGTCAAAAAAATTAAATTACACCGATTTCCGCGAAAATCGGTACTAAATGTTTCATAACGCTAGAATCACGAAAATGAGGTCAAATCCATGTTTTGACCATTTTTGACCGACTTTACTTACAGAATGTTTGCTAAAATATGCAGAATTTTGTTGACTTATCCTTTTTAAATCATACCAAATGAGAATATTCGGCATCGTAGAACATTTTTTTAAACTTAACTAACAATGAATTTATTTCACCAAATATAATATTTTTTAATCTATAAATAACTATTTGTGCTAATTTAATTAAATTTACTTTAAACTTATAATTTTTATTTATATTTTAATTTAAACGATATAAGTAAACAGATAAATTCATTCAGACAGAATTATCAAAATTAACGAATTTGTATTTTGTTGATAATGTGGTGGTGAGTTTTTACGATCGACGTCCATTATAATATAATAAATTTAGAACAGTGAATTAGTAAAAATTAAGGTAAAAAGCAAATGAACAAAATGTAAAATCTAAAAAAATGTAAAATTTTATATTTAAACTTAAACATATTAAATTAAGTAATGTCAAAAGATTAAAGGTAAAGAAATAACTAATCAGGTCAACTATAGTTAAAAAATGTTAGGAATAGATTAGAAGATACATAAACGGAAAAAAAATCAATGAAAATTAATGGTTACTTCCCTGAATTTTCTTCTCTGGCAAGAAAGTCGGTATCTTAGGATTTCATAACGCTAGAAACACGATAATGAGGTCAATTCCAAGTTTTGACCGATTTCTGAATGAGGATAAATCTTATTTGGAATTTTAAAAATATTGTTTTTATTGTAGGTGTGGTAAGTTCATTGTTGGTTAGCATAACAACAGAAATGTTCTACGACGCTGTAATTATTTAATTGTAATTTGGTATGATTTAAAAAGACAAATGAACAAAACACTGTTTTTTTTTGCATATTTTAACAAACATTCTCTAAGCAAAGTAGGTCAGAAAATGATCAAAACATGGATTTGACCTCATTGTCCTGATTATAGCGTTATGAAACCCTTAGAAAGCGATTTTCGCGGAAATCGGTGTAAATTAATTTTTGGACTCATAATTTCAAAGACCTTCTTCAGGCAAGCTCTGACATCATTTTTCTTAAAAGCCAATGGATGGATTTTCGTGGTTGATAGTTCCATTTAAATAAATAGTCAAGTGCATTTTATAGCTATATCAATCATTTAAATCGGACTATTATTTCCATTAAAAAAACTAGTTTTAATTCTGACAAATCATTTTCCTATTTTGTGTATTTTTCTGTAGAAATATTTTATATATTTTTATGGTACATATGTCTTTAAAAAGCTACGTTCCTCTTCTTTCAGAAGCTATGTTTGACGATCAAGTTCTTTTAGCCGTTTTTGAATTATAGCCGTTTCAATCAGACATTCCGATAACGACTTCTTCAAAATCAAAAAACTTTTTGTGGCCAAAAAACAATATATTTAAATTCAAAGAAAAATTTGAAGAGTGCAAATTCCAAATGTTCTAAGTGCCATCTGTTATTTCTTTCAGAAAAGCAATAAAATTGCGTAAGTCAAATGGTAGCTCAAAAACTTTATTGAAATGTATTTTATTGGTAATATAGGAGTATATTCTTTCGCAGCTAGTGCAATGAAAAGCAAACACATACTCCCTAATATCCAAAAAAATAAGAAATTGAAGAAGCGTTCTATGTTCGGTGGTACATAGAACTCTTTGAATAAAAAGTACATTGATACATAGAACATGATAAACCTAAATAATTAATAGATTTAATTAGCGTATAAAGATAAATTAAAGTTTCATTATTTAGAATGTTTTGATACTAGTTTTTAGCAGTTTCTAGCAAAAAATCCAACATGGCAGAGAAATATTTTTTCTAGCTATTCGACAGGAATGGCTTCTGAATCAATGACATCCAAACATTTTTAACATCATCAGATTTAGCCCCTTTTTTTGTACATTAACACGTTTCCACAAGTCTGTGTCATTGAATGTGGACTTATACTGGATAAACTTTTATCATAGTAGCCTTTGTAATTGGAAAATTAATATAGAGTCACAGGCGTGTTTTAAGTCTAGACAGTAGGAATGTTCCATGTAACTTTAGCTGATGCCACATTTTGTAAATCTGTCGGAGTGAAACATTTGGAACCTCCTTACCTCTTTCCAATAATGGCGAAGTCTCGATCACATGATAAAAAAAAAACTATTATTAGAAGCGCTTATTGGAATTTTCTGAACAATCTCTTCAAAATGTCCAAGTTGTACTAAAAATGTTATTAAAATTGAGAGTACGGTTTTATTTTGGCCTGCACTATTATCTGACCACATAACCAGTTTCTTTCAGCCGAAAATGTCAAATGAATTCACTAGACGTAAAATGCAGGAACCAAATTCTGATTCCCCAATTGGCAGATACGCCATGGCACATAAAACCTTTGGAAAAATCATGCCACAAACTTAGACCAGTGCCATCTATGACAAACTCAACAAAACACTTTTAAAGAAGTGTAGCCCTAACAAATTTCTTTTCTCTCTACATCATTTCTGTAGCAACTATAGCGCTGAGCTACTAGCAATACGGAAGTCTCTAAATTTCATATGTTCCGTAGCTACGTGATTTGCTCTGATTCAGAATCGGTCTTACATGCCTTGGACCACCCCTATTCAGATGATCCCAGTGAGCAGGAGGTACTCGCGTCACTGGGGAGCCTCCAACTGCAGGGAAGGAGAGTTTATTTCGTCTGGGTTCCTGGACATGTAAATATTAATGGAAACCATTTGGCAGATGAAGCTGCAAAAGAAGCAGCCATTACAGGCCTTCAAATCAGGAACGTTCCAAAGGGTGATATGACCGTAGTTTACAAGTTAAAAGTTAAGGGTCAATGGAAACAGGTCTGGACTAATATATCTGAAAACAAACTAGAGGAAATAAAGGACTCTGTAGATGCATGGCCTGCTTC